ATGGGGAAGCAGATGCCTCAGCCCATCTTCACACTACGGAAGAAGCTTTTCTTCCCTCCTAACTGACGCCGACACGGTGTTGTCGTCGAAGCACTTTTTGTTTGGCGGGAGGGGGAGGTGGGTGAGTTTTAATTTATTTTTTATGATTTCTTTTATTGAAATTATATCGTTTGCCCCTTCCCTTTCCTCCCTTCAAACTTCCCTTCGGACTCTTCCTCGCTCTTTTTCAAATTCCTGGTTTTTTCATTAATTGTTGTTACATGACTACACACACACACACACACACACACACACACACACACACACACACACACATATATATATTTCTTTTTCAAAAATATAACCTGCTCAGTCTGTATGCTGTTACTTGTACGTGTGTTTTCAGGGATGACCGTCCGGTGTTGGACAGTAAATGGGTGAGCTCTTCCCTGGGAGAGACCATTTCTCCCACTCAGCATTCCTTAGTTACCTGTGGTTCTTTGTGTATGCTTTTAGTTTCTTTTGAATTCCCTTTTAATTCCAAGCAAATCTCTGTTTTTGGATGTGAGTTCTACAAAGACCATGAAGACCGTACAAATCCCTGTGTGTCACTGCATCATTGCAAGACTATTTATTAAAAGTTGGAATGTTTTTCCCCCTCCCGAGACAGGGTTTCTCTGTGTAACAGCTCTGGCTGTCCTGGAACTCGCTTTGTAGACCAGGCTGACCTAGAACTCACACAGCTCCGTTTGCATCTGCCTCCAGAATGCTGGGATTAAAGGCGTGTGCCACCAACACCTGGCTCAAAAGTTGAAAAAATTTTGTTTTGTTTTGTTTTGTTTTCGAGACAGGGTTTCTCTGTGTAGTTTTGGTGCCTGTCCTGGATCTCGCTCTGTAGACCAGGCTGGCCTCGAACTCACAGAGATCTGCCTGGCTCTGCCTCCCGAGTGCTGGGATTAAAGGCGTGTGCCACTGCCACCCAGCAAAAGTTGAAAATTTGAAGTCCAAAGCAGAAGCTTGATAAATTGAACATCAGTTCTAAGTAAGGTGGGTACTCTGGACAGTTGTACCCCAATGGTGCTGGCTTCTACTCACCAACTTCATGTCTTTTTGACAGAACATTTAATTTATGTAAACATTAGGCTCCACATCTGTAAAGTGGGAGCGATAAAATTCCTTGATCAGCAAAGCCCTTGGCACAGGCATGGTGTGTGTGCTAAATGCTCAGACAGGATACCGTCCATTTTACCGTTTCTTCCTAGCTGAATTCAGATTCCTTGGCAACAGGGATTGTATTCGATACTTTTGTGGTTGCTGCTGTTACTGGTGGATATCGAAGCTGGGAGAATGTTGCTTGTGATGTGTAGGTTTGTGTGCCCTGGAACAAATCGTGAACAGAGACAAGGGCAGTTTGCAAGCTAGGATATACTTCCAGGCCAGCCAGCCGGTGGGTCATCTGGGAAGGGGGTTCCCATGTACATGCGCGCAGTGTCAAGAATGGCTTAGGGAGAGGAATGACTTTCAGGTTGGGTTTTTTCATATTCTAACAAAAGCACAACCACAAACTTTACAACCCTTTCCTGGACAAAACAGGGCAGTTGCACATACGGACTCACAACTCCTGTGACAGCATACACAAGCACTTGCACGCTCAAGCCAGGCAAAATTCCAGCATGGAGGTGGGGAGGAGGGCCGGCGTGAAGACCTGTTAACATCTGTTAGCCGCTGGGAAGGGGAGAGTTGGTTGTGTGTTTGTTTTTAAATGGTATGACCCCTGTGTGTTTTTAAATCACACCTCCAAGGCAGGTCCCACTCTCAAGAATAGTTGGGCAAAACAAATTGGATTCCGTGGGTTTACAAAAAGAAAACCGGAAGCTGGGTGGGTGGGAAAGTGAGAGAGGAGAGAGTGGATCTGGGGCAAGTTGGGGAGGTGGGTGAAGATCAGGATGCACTAGGAAATTCCCAATTAATTCAAGCAGTTTTTTTCCCTGTGCAATATGTGATTCTTCCAGGTTAGTCTTCGTTTGTGGACACTAGTTCTGAAAGCATCTTGCTCCAGGGTAATTTCCTGATCCAGTGAAAGCCCTTCAGATAGGGAGCTGTTAGGGACGTGTGTGGTGATTGAAAAGGCTCCCTCGGTTTTTGGAGGGAGAAACTTTAAAAGTACTTACATGGCTGAGTTTACTTGGTGCAGTTAGTAATTAAACTTGACCAGGATGAGGAGGTGGCTCCGTGGTTAAAGTTTTGCCAAACAAGTCCGAGGACCTGAGTTCAGATCCCCAGGGTCCGTGTAAATGCTGATGGGCATGTCGACCCTCCTGTAATTCCAGCGCTTGGAGACGAGATCCCTGGAGCAAGCTGTGTAGCCAGACTAGCAGTTCTCAGTAGGCTCTGGGTTCACCTAAGAGACCCTGCCTCAATGATGAAGGTGGAGAGTGACTGAGGCAGACCACACGTGTGCATGCAAAAGCATTTACACCCTCACACATGCTTATGCACATGAACATGCATACAAGCACCTCCTATATGCACACACATGAGAAAAAGCCAAACTTACCAATTTTAATATTGCTGTTATATCCTCAATAAATATATGTAATGCTCTTATTTTTTTGAAAATGTGGAAATGAGGGCTGGTGAGATGGCTCGTTGGGTAAAGGGTCTTGCTGCCGAGACTGGTGACATGGTTTGATCCGTGAGACCAACCAGTGATCGTGAGACCAACCAGTAGAAGGAGAGAATTGACTCCCCCGAGTTATCTTCTGAGCTCCAAAGCACGCTCTCTCTCTCACACACAACACATGAACGGATGAACAGATAGATGTAAACACATTTAAGTGAAAATGAGGCCCCTTGTGGTGGACCACAGCCAAACACTTAAGAGGTAGAGGCAGGAGGATCAGGAATTTAGTGTCGTCCTCAGCTACAAAATGAGTTTGAGGCCAGCCTGGTCTACATGAGACCCTGTTTCAAAAATAAAAAAGAAAGAGGAGTAAATGATTTTTGTTGGTTTTTAAGGTAACTTACAGGTTTTAAATTAATGTTGGTCCATCAGAAAATTCTATTTTTTCTTTCTGGAAATCTTTTTGGTTTTTTGAGATAGGATTTTACTGTGTAACAGCCCTGGCCATCCTGGAATTCACTCTGTAGACCAGGCTGGCCTTGAACTCAAGAGATCCACCTGCTTCTGCCTCCTGAGTGCTGGATTAAAGGCATGCGCCACCACTGCCTGACTTCTGGAAGTCTTTATAAAATAAGATTTTTAAATGCTTTACAGATAATATTAAAACAAAACTCCAAAAAAGGATGATGGGCATCAAAGAAACTCCATATGGGGTTTGCTTTCTTTGTGGCAAAAGCTAGCCATGTGGGCAAGAAAATGCCCTTGCCTTGACTGCTGACAGTAAATACGCTGTCCAATCTGGACACGCAGGACACAAAGGGAAGTGACTGCTGAACTTTGCCAAGACAGGGTAGGACAGTCCTTCAAAATTTCTTCCTTCAGAGAAAAGTCTGTCAGATATCCTAGGCCTGTAGGCCGAAGGTGGATGCCGCAATGTTGCGGAAGAACTTTGGGTGACTGTCTAGGCAGCTAGCTGTTTCTGTCATTTCTCATAATTTTGGAAGTTGCTTGCTACGCATGTCCTGCTTACTCAGGTAATATTATTTCCTTCTCAGGTCTTTGATGGGGTTGAAGACTAGACAGTTACAGTTACAGTACTCCTGAATCATAGCAAAAGGTATATTAGGTACAAAAGTTTGGACTCTTCAGGAGAGGACAGCTAATGGTAGTCTCTCTTAAATTTGCCAATTACCAGCCACTAGATTAGGCATAGAGGTCAGGCAGTGGTGGCACATACCCTTAATCCTATCACTCAGGAGGCAGAGATCTGTTTGGATCTCTCTGAGTTTAAGGCCACACTGGAAACAGAGCCAGGTAGTGGTGGCACATGCCTTTAATCCCAGTACTGGGAAGCACACGTGCCTTTAATCCCAGGAAGTGATGTCTGGGCAGAGAAAGGTATATAAGGCGTGAGGAGACAGGAACTCACTCTTGAGACTGAGGATTTTGTAGAGGTAAGAACTAGTGGCTGGCTGTTCTGCTTCTCTGATCTTTCAGCTTTCACCATGATATCTGGCTCTGTGTTTTTTATTAAAAGACCATCTAAGATTTGAACAACAGACTGGACATTGAGAATGTATTTCTTACTTGATAATTGTTCTTGTTGTATGTAGTTTCATTTTTGTTAAGACATTACCTTTCCCTTGTATCTGGACAATACTTGATAATTCTTATTGTATATAGTTCTACTATATTAGAGTTAGAACGTTTCCTTTTTAATTAGACAAAAAAAGGGGGAAATGTTAAGGGAATTCTGTTCATGTCGCTCAGTCCGTTATCCAGTTGAAAAGGGCGTTTAGTCTGAGAGGCAGGGCTTACGCTAGGCAGGGCCACAAGGCACAAGCTTTTCAAGCCTGGAAGAGAGTGTGGTAGCAGGTGTTTTCAGGGTTGATTCACCTCAGGTTTTTATCTTTAACATTTGTCCACAAAGTTTGTTTTTTTAATAAACGGTAAAAGAAATCTTAACATGAAATTCTCACAAATTTACAAAAAGTAAAGAAAGCAGTAGCAGGGCAAAGCCATGTGTCCCCCCCCCCCATCCCACTTCAGTAGCTGTCCCATGACCTGTCCTCATCAACTGTATCCCTGCCTGCCTACCTCAGGTGGATTGGCTGGAGTCCCATTAGAGTGGAATATTTTTACATCTGTATATTTTAGAGACCCAAGTGTCTCTAAAGATGAGGCACTTTTTAGATAGCTAGAGCCTTTATAAACATCAAATAACAGTATTCAGAATCTCCCAGTCTTCTTGCACATTGGTAGTTTGTTTGATCTATATCTTGAGTTTCGTTTGTATTTCAAATTCCATATTAATGTATAAATTTTTCTGTATTTTTCACATACCTTTTAAAAAGAAACTGAGTTGTTTGTCCTACAATTTGTTCTTTAGTATATATTTTATTGAATTTGTGTTGATAGAATTATGTATTTTTCTGTCCCCTCCTAAATAAACTGTGAGAAAGAAAAGCTGCTTTTAAACAGTAGAACAAACTGTAAATTGACCTTACTGTTTCTAGAGGATGCTTCTGTTTGCCTGTGCTTTGTTTCTGTCTTTTGTTTGCTTGACAAACAGCACGTTCACATGTGGGAAACATTCGGCTCCTGGTATTGGCTTCAACCAGTGTTTAACATTCACTGTCGATACTTAAAAGGAGCACCTCCACATAAAAACCAGGATTTGTGTTTTAGATCATGGTGACCCCATGCACCCAAACGGCAGGCAGTCCAGTAAGTCTAAGAAGTGTCATTGTCAGATACGGATGGTGTGGTTCACCTCGGTTGGCCTCTAGTCTCCACTGAGGCTTCCGCATGCTGCCTGTGAGATGGGTTCCCTTGTGTCCACCCCACGTCCGTGTACATGTTGCCTGCCCTGCGGGTGTTTGGATTCTTGTGATGGTCAGAGATAGGGGAAATCATCACTCACTCTTCCCAAGTCACTGGGCTAAGGAATGTGATATCTCAGAGAAGAAATCTTTTTGGAATGAAAGCAATGAATTGTCTTGCTTGCTATTTGCCCTCGGGGGACAAGAGTCACACCTCAAAAAATGCAGCATTTAATAAGGAGTCTCTTCAAACCAGTCTCCAAAATACATAAAAAGCAGAAAAGAAGATAGCGTACGCCCCACAGGAGGTCCAAATCCGGGACAGAGGACGTCCGTTTTCATAGAAGAGTCACGATATAATTGAGATAAGAATTCAAACATTTCTAATCATTCTGAAGAAAGCAAATTGTAAAAAAAAAAAAGACAAAAAATAAAGCCATAACACAACCCATCTGCATCTCTCTAGAAAACCTTGCTGGAGTCCACAGCTCCACAGGGCTGCGGCAAGGCGGCTGCTCCAGCCGCGGAGCACAGTTCCTCATCCACCACGCTTACTTCCTGTTGCTGCTGGGTTCAGGAAAGTCAGACTCATACACACTAAGAGTAGCAGAGGCCGACTTCTCAGATCTTTCTTCAGACATGTCCTCGTTCTTGATCCTCTGCCTGTAAAAAGAGCGGTGCATCACTGTAGCCTCAAAGGGCAGAGGGGATGTAGGGTATTTGCGGAGAAATGTGGCTTTCTTCCCGCCCGAGGAAGCAGCCTCTCATGACACTGTTGCTTTAAATTTGGTGAAATGTGGTGTTTGGGTGATCATATTCCCAATAGAAACTGATGGGTAACTTATCTTCTGCCTTGGTGGTTTAAGAGGGGCTGGAGAGATGGCTCAGTGGTTGCACTGAATGTTCTTCCAGAGGACCTGGGTTCAATTCCCAGCACCCACACAATAGCTTACAATTGTCTGTAACTCCAGTTCCAGGGGATCTGACACCCTCACATCTATGCATTTAAATATATACCTCCAGAGACACAACATACTCTAGATAAAATACATAATTTTAAAAAAGAAGCCCCTTCAGGGAATAGTGGTTCTGATGGGCAGCTGGTCTCAACAGGAACCAGAAATGCCAAATCTGAGAGTTAAAACCCATTGAACTCTGAAAAATAACCCTTAGTCACAGGACAAAGCAGCTCAAAAATCCATAGGCAAATATCCTGTGTTTTATACAAAAACAGACCCAGGGGAGCGAAGTCTAGACACATCACAGACAAAGTGCCCACCTCAGATGAACAATCTAACTCCATGGCATGTGTGCAGGTCCAGCCCCACACCTCCTCCCAAACAATCAGGACTGTGACATCCTCCAGGAGTCCCTGGTTTGTCTTGACCTAGTCCTCGCCTGGACACCCTCCCCCTCTCAGAGGTAACTCAGCCAAGTCCCCCTGAGCAGCAGTACCCGTACCTGAGTAAGGTGTTTTCTTCGGTCAGGAGCTGTATGGTGTACTTATACTTTTCTTCAGCTTCAATCAGCTTCGTCTGCATCAGCTTCTCCAGATTTCCCACTATAGCTTTCTAAAAGATAAATCTGAATGGCTGTCTTCCCCCAGAGCCCGTGGGGCAAGGCTCTTGGGCAGAACAGCCCTGTGCTCTGGCTTCCTCTCCGGCCCGGGGCCTCTCTCTAGCCAGGACTCACCTCTCTCTGGAGGTCCAGCTGGCAGTGGTAAAGGTTCGTGTTAAGTGTCTCCAGAACGATAGTTTGTGCCCGCAACTCAGCCTCCAGGATCTGCACAAGAGGAAGCTGCCTCAGGACACCGTGCTGATGCAGTGTCCCTGAGACGGGATGCTCGGGATAGAAGCAGTGTGCCAGCGTCGACTGCTTTCTCTTGTACCACTTCCAGCCTAGCAGTCACTGTGCGGACAGGTCCACACTTCTCTTTCTCTGTCACCTGTGTCCTGTTCTTGAGTATCACTGTCACTGCTGCCAAAGCAGCCCTCAACAGAGTCCCAGTGGGTAGTCATGGCCGTCACCAGCCAGTCACTACATAGTTCGTTTATTTTTGTCTGTTTGTCTGTCTGTCTATTCTATCTATCTATCATCTATCTATCTATCTATCTATCTATCTATCTATCTATCTATCTATCTATCTAGGTTTTTCGAGACAAAGTTTCTCTGTGTAGCCCTGGCTGTTATGGAACTGTAGACCAGGCTAGCCTTGAACTCACAGAGATCTGCTGGCCTCTGCCTCCCAAGTGCTGGGATGAAAGGCGTGCACCACTACAACCTGGCTAAAGATTTCTTTTTAAAATATAATAGTTTTATTAATTGTTGAGAATTTCATACATGTATACAATGCATTTGATCATATTAATTTAACTTCCCACTTTCCCCCTAACTAGATCCACCTCTTTCCAAACTTTGTGTCTTCTTTTAAAAATTTAATATTTGACGCCTTTAATCCCAGCACTCGGGAGGCAGAGCCAGGCGGATCTCTGTGAGTTCGAGGCCAGCCTGGGCTACCAAGTGAGTCCCAGGAAAGGTGCAAAGCTACACAGAGAAACCCTGTCTCGAAAAACCAAAAAAAAAAAAAAAAAAAAATTTAATATTTGATTTTTATTGATGTTGTTGCATGTGTGCACACACGCATGCACAGAAGACAATGTTCCTGACATTGTCCTCAGGGCTCTCTGCCTGTCTTTCTGCTCCCTACACACACCAACTTCTTTCATTATGTCAGGTGGTGGAACTCCATCTGTCCTTGCCCATGTTCTAAGATTCAGAGATACCCATCTGTATCCAAATACCAAACACCACACCACAACCCTTGCTGGCCTGTCGCCGGAGTGTACCCACCCCCGATGGGGCTAATGAATGGTTCTTTCCTCTGAAGGAATGATATCATGCTTATATTTTATCATAAATGTATCTTCTTCCACCTGGCATGGTGGCACACAGCTTTAATCCCAGCACTTGGGAGGCAGAGGCACATGCCTTTAATCCCAGCACTTGGGAGGCAGAGCCAGGCGGATCTCTGTGAGTTCGAGGCCAGCCTGGTCTACAGAGCAAGATCCAGGACAGGCACCAAAACTACACAGAGAAACCTTGTCTCAAAAACAAACAAACAAACAAACAAACAAACAAACAAAAAACAGCAACAACAAGAACAAAGGGACCAAGAAGCTCCACCACACTGCTTTCTTCCAACCTGCCATCTTCACAGTACCTCACCGTCAGCACATAGCAATTTCAATGTGCATTTCTCCTCAGGCATTGACAAGGCCAAAGATGTGAAGTCGATTGGTCTCTTCCCCCAGGTTTCAGCCCACTGAGTCTCCCTGTGTCCTCAGACCCCTAGAGAAATTCCTGCATAGCATGCATCTTCCCATGATGTGTGAACTGGACATGTGCCATCACGGACTGCATCTGTGTTGAGCACAGCCCTGTTCCAGGTCACATTTGTATTCTTTCATTCATTTATCCATTCAAGGGTCAACTGATGTGTATTTAAAGCCTGTAGTGTGCTAGGTACTATTCTAGGAATTAAGAATTAATGGTAAAGAAAACATACGGAGCTGGGCTTTAATCCCAGCACTCGGGAGGCAGAGGCAGGAGGATCTCTGTGAGTTCCAGGCCAGCCTGGTCTACAGAGCGAGATCCAGGACAGGTTCCAAAGCTACACAGAGAAACTCTTGTCTTGAAAAATCAAAACCAAACCAAAACAAAACAAAACAAAAAAAAAGGAAGGAAGGAAGGAAGGAAGGAAAACATACCAAAAGGCTTTCTTTCACTGAATTTATCTGCTTAGATGATTATAAATTTATGTAAAAAAGCAAAACAGAGAAAAAGAAGTGTTGGGGCAGAGAGCTGAGCCTTTAAATAGTGATTCCTGAGAGGCTGCCATTTGAATAAAGACCAGAAGAGGGGAAAAAAGCTTCAGATGGAAATCTCTGGGAAAGGGATGTTTGGGAAGACACACTATCAAAGACAAAGACCCCTCAGGGTAGGGGCGTTCTATCCCTTTAAAGAACCAAGAAGTCCAGGGACTTTGGAGTAGAGTGATGGAAGGCAGAAGTAAAGGAGATGAATTGAGGGAGAGAAGGTAGCGGGTGGAACAAGTCCTCAGATGACACAGACTGAGAGTAATTCATAGTCCCACCAGCCAGGTTGGAGCACAGCTGAAGCGCAGAGGCCTTTCAGAAGGGGTTGCTCTACACCAAGCTTTAACTCCAACTGGCCAGACTCCAAAGGATCAGACTGTTTCCAAACCATGTGAGTGCATCCCAGAACACGGTTTGTGAGCATTGAAAGTTTAAATTTTAACAAAATATAAACATATTCAGTGCCCAACAACATTGCATAAGCTATGCCATGACCGGCACCGACTGAAAACTCGGCCGGCTGGCAGAGAAATAAATCAGGCTGGAAATGGACTCAGAAATGATACCTAGATGGAATTAGTAGAGAAGCTCACGGTAGCTGCTCAGAGGATGCATTAGGACTCCCTGGTCTGAGGCCACCCCCTTACTTGTAGGATACACAGTAAATTTTCAGGGAAAAGGGAAACAGAAATTACTGTTATTTAATAGATTTTTTTTTTCATCTGCCTTCCCAAATGGCCTTGTGTGTCCCAGCAGAAGGGAGCCCTGTAGAAACCACCGTGTGTAAGGTATACCCAGAGGAGGGGCTTAGGGACAAAGTTCTGCAGAAGGCGTTTGGAAGATTCAGGGTTCAGAGGGAAGAACATGGTGTCTGTAATCCAAAGTCCTGTGTTTTAAGCTTTGCTAGACACGGAAGTTATTCAACATCGATGACCCCGCAGTCTATTGCTGATGTATTTGTTCACAGCCCGCTCTCAGGGGGGCTGCATTTGTTTTACATACAGTTCAAGATTTCTTTTGACTTACTGGGTCCAAAACTTAGATTTTACTGGTTTGGGTAAAATTGCATTTCATTTTCCTGAGAGCGTATCATTTGCAAGACACTAATTTCGTGGAAATGCTTACCTCCTTGGATTTTCTCAGCTCCTGTATTTGCAAGTTAGCGTCATTGAGTTGTTTCATGAGCTCCTAAAAACAATTTTATTGGGAAAAGTCAGCACGTGGTTCTGGATATTCTTTTAGAGAACTAAGAAGCCACCCGAGGATTCAGGAATATAACACTCCTGAACTTAGGCATTATCAATGGAGATGTGGCATTTTGAAGTATCTTATTTAACTTTATCATATATATATATATATATATGTATATATACATATATATATGAGATCTCTCTCTCTCTCTCTCTCTCTCTCTCTCTCTCTCTCTCTCTCACACACACACACACACACACACACACACACACGGTGGTATTGTGTTCCCCAAAATATTGTACACCCTAATAAACTTATCTGGGGTCAGAGAACAGGACAGCCACTAGACAGAGAGGCTAGAAAATGGCAGCACTCACGCCTTTAATCCTAGCATTACAGAGGCAGAAATCCCTCTGGATCTCTGTGAGTTCAAAGCCACATTGGAAACAGCCAGGCATGGTGACTCACACCTTTAATTCCAGGGAGTGATGGCAGAAAGCAGAAAGATATACAAGGCATGAAGACCAGAAACTAGAAGCATGTGGCTGGTTATGCTTTTAGGCTTTGAGCAGCACAGTTCAGCTGAGATTCATTTGGATAAGGACTCAGAGGCTTCCAGTCTGAGGAAACAGGATCAGCTGAGGAACCAGCGAGGTGAGGTAGCTGTGGCTTGTTCTGCTTCTCTGATCTTCCAGCATTCACCCCAATACCGGCTCCAGGTTTGATTTTATTAATAAGAACTTTTAAGATTCATGCTATACACACACACACACACACACACACACACACACACACACACACACACACACACACAAATTATCCAACATGGATCATAGACTCAGAAATGTTAAAATTATAATGCTTCTAAAAAGAGAATATATTCATGGTCTGATGATTGGCAACAGTGTTACAGGGCATACAGAAAAGGCTTTTAATTATAAAAAGAAAAAGTCGACAATTTGTCTTTCATCAAAATTAGAAATTTCTGCACATTGAAAGATAACATTTGCAAAATGAAAAAGCCAACCCTTGGGCTGGAAGTTATTATTTGCAACTTATATACATAATATTTGCATCCATATCTTTTAAATGATGTAGAGTTGAACAGACACATCAAAGAAGGTAGTAATATATCAGTGCTACCCTCCCCCAATCTGAAAAACTGGCCAATGCGTTCAGTCATCAGAGAAACTGAAAAAATAGTGAAATGCACTGAACAGCCACTAGAATGGCCGTAATTAAAGACCGAGTGAACTAATCGTGGAGGATTTGGTGCAGTCAGAATTCACCTATTTAAGATCCAAGAGTAAAACAACACTCTGCTGTGGAAACCACAAATTTCCTATATGTCCCCTGGAGCTCTAATAGTACTTCAAGATAAGTAAGAGCGTTTATCTATGAAACACATATCTGTGTTCATAAATGCTTTGCTTAAAAGCCAATAAATGGAGATAATCTCAATTTTCCAAACCAGGAAAACAATAAACACACTGCATGACATTTCTACAAAGGGACAGCTGCATGTGGTCTCATGCTTGTAATCCTAGTGTAGGAAGGCCAAGGCAGGAAGAGCAGGAACTCAGGGTCATCCTGGGTTACACATCAGTTGGAGTTCGGCTAAGAGGGAGATGTGTCTTAAAACACCTTTACAAACAGAATTTATGAATATGAAAAACAAATGAGTCAATTTCATCGATGTTATTTTGAGGGAAAAGCTACCCATGAAGGGGCATAGACACACAGTTTTGTTTACATTAATTTTTAAAACCTGAAAATCTAGCAGCACTGTTTCTTGGCTAGTTTGAGCTTGCTGGGCCAGAGGTGCAGAGGGGTGTGTTCACCTTCTCTCCTCCCCTCAACCGGTTCCTGTAGCTAGAGTTTTTCTCTCTGGGTCCCGCCAAGTCCCGGCGGTCCCTTAGCCCACTTATAAAATAAACATACAGACGCTTATATTATTTAAACTGCTCGGCCATTAGCTCAGGCCTACCATTGTCTAGCTCTTATTCTTATACTCAGCCCATTTCTGTAAATCTAAGTCACCACATGTTCCGTGGCTTTACCTGCTGCCTCTACATCATGCTCCCTGGCCGGCAAGCTGGTGTCTCCTCCTCTCTGCCTTCCTGTTCTCTCAATTCTCCTCTCTGCTATACTTCCTGCCTGGCTACTGGCCAATCAGTGTTTTATTTATCAATCAATCATCTACGCAGGTTCCTGAGCAGATGTGGGCCCAGCGCTGTCCTGGTCTTCCTGGGTCTTTCACTGCTCTCATGATGCCCCTCTCTGAGGGTGGGCCTGAGGCTGGAGGTGGGGGTGATATCGGAGCACCCACTAGCCCACCTCTCAGGGCAGCAATCCTTCCATGCTGCTGTGAAGGATAGGAAGGCTGGGGGCAGAGGAGAGGCTGATTCAGTGATGGAGATGGGAGTCTGCAGAGGATGCAGCTGGCGGGCTCCCGGGAATGCACCCAGACAGAGGATGATCAGGACAGAAGCAGGGGCTTTCCGCAAAGCACCCTGACCCCACAGGAAGTGAGGTCTGTTGAGAAGAAGGAACAGGGCTGTCCTAAGAGAAAACTTGGGGCATAATTTCATCAACTATGAAAGGGAAGGAAGGGGAGAGACATGAAAAAAAGGTAATTACTAAAGAGAAGCATATTAATGGGCACAGGAGAAACGATGACCAGAAAGGACAGAAAGAAAACAACAGTTACTAGATGTTAATATACATTTGGTTTTGTTGAGACAAGGTCTCTCTCCATAGTCCTGCCTGTCCTGGAACTCATTATGTAGACTAGACTGGCTTCGAACTCAGAGAGATCCTCCTGCCTCTGCCTCCCAAGTGCTGGGATTAAAAGTGTGCACTATATGCCTGGCTTGATAGTAATAAATATTAAAAAAAATTCCATTAATAGAAAAATCAGTGAAGAAACCAGAGAAAGAATGTCTGCACAGAAAGGCCAAAGGAAAATATTAAGTGTGAGAAAAGCAGCTGAGGGAAGGGAGAAATGGAGGAGAAAATAAACAATGATAAACCAAGTTGAGGGGGAGAGGGGAAGTGGAGGAGTTAAGGTATGGCTGGAAGATGCCGTACCTTAAAACTAAATCCAGCTACAGTGAGCCCCAGAAAGCCAACTAAAGGCTCACAGGTCTCCATTGTGGAACCCTGCTCCCGAGCCAGCTGGTTGTTACAGAGTTTGAGACCCCAGTAAAAAAAGACCACAGACTCCATCCAGATTATAACTAGCTAAATTTGTTGATATTGCTAGCAAGACAACAATCTCTGAGCCAAATGAGATTGCCATGCAAAGGGAAGTGAGAGAAGGATTTTTGAAGGTGCAAACCACAAGAAGACCATGAGTGTCTGCACAAGCAAGCCAGGAACCGTTCCGCTCTGCCAAGATTAGGTAGCCAAGGCAACCTCCAAACAGTCCCTGACGGGCTGCACAAGCAGGTTACAGAAGCCAGAAAGCAGTTAGTCATATCATAACAAGCAGATGGTCCCGGCTGTCCATTTCTGGGTGGGGGCCACTGAGTCAGGCTTACTGGAAACTCCTCTTTGAGGAACTGGGGTCAGGAGACACAAATGGCTAGTGGGTACCAAGATGGCCGCCTAGCATAAAATGGAGTTTCTCTGGCCATCACAATGTGACAGATTCAGCTCCACAGAAGCCCATCCTTATGGTTCCTTCCAAAGAAGCGAAGGGTCTGTCAGAAAGAGGAATGCCCAAGTCACCCTCATCTCTGGTGGCTCATAAGGACAAAGCGAGCCTTGCCTTGAAACTGGGCGAAGTTCAGAGACAGTGTGTGGGGGAAAATAGTATTGCTATTTAAACTTAAAAATCAGAATGTTAAAAACCTGCTCAGTTGTGTGAGGATTGACAAGCACCAGTTTTTGTCATGGTGTCCTCACTGTCCTCAGAGGTTCACTGAGGAGGATATTGTCTACATTTAGTTTGTATAAACTTTTTAAGGTTGATTTTGACACTTTGCAGGATGATTAACAACTGTGTTCGTGTTTATTTTTTAAATAAATTATGCTATCACAACAAAACCAACAGTTGTGGTTTTTTTAACAACACAAAAACTAATGATAAATCTAGTTCATGGTGGTAGAAACCCAAAGAGCTGTCGGCTGGGGCGGGTGTGATGGAAATGGAAGAGGACTTAGCATGATGGTTAGAAATGTGCACACACACACACACACACACACACACACACACACACACGAATGAAATATTCAAAATATCCCAAATATTGCAAAACTCTCCATTTTGCATCAAAAGGATGGAGGAATCTAAGAAAGCTTACAGCTTGTAGATTTAGGGGTGATGCCTAAGACCTGATCCCAGAATGGTCCTCTGTCCTGCTTGGGAGGCATTCTGGCTGGCTGATGGTGACTACGGTTACAGAGTTCTACCCCGCTAATGTGACGACATCCGCTGCCAGCAATCCTTTAGTGTACCCCAAAGCTCAGGGAGCAGGCATGTGAAGTGTTTGGGGCTGACACTAACACATCTCTGCTTAGTCAGTGTCCATCTGTTTAGAAAATCTAGTCGAGAACTTTCTTACTGGCTCGCAGTTGTTTGGGTCGTCTCTTACTTTATATTTTAGGTAGCTATTTTCTTTCTTTTTTGTCTTTTTTTTTTCTTTTTGGTTTTCCGAGACAGGGTTTCTCTGTGTAGCTTTGCGACTGTCCTGGAACTCACTCTGTAGCCCAGGCTGGCCTCGAACTCACAGAGATCCGCCTGGCTCTGCCTCCCAAGTGCTGGGATTAAAGGCGTGTGCCACCACCGCCCGGCTTAGGTAGCTACTTTCATTTACTTGGAGTGGTACATGACCAAATTGACTTGCCTAGTTGACACTAATGTCTTTTCCTTCATCTATAGAAAGGGCTGGAATGGCATTCAGAGATGCAATGTTGGCAAACCATGGAACTTTACATATTTACATATTTACATATTTAGTGTACTGCTATTTCCTACGAATTGTAACTTTCATTCCAAAAATCCTGTGGTAAGAGTGCCTGGCTACAAAGGACCCCGGGGTGGTCATTCTCCTACTTGGCTTCAGCTGTCCACTTGACACAGCCCAGAGGGACTTGAGTGGGTTTCAATTTGGGGATTGCCTCCATCAGGTCAGCTGGTGGGCACGCCTAGGGGGCATTTTCTTGACCGCCAATCGATGTGGGATGGTCCAGCCTGTGGTGGGTGGTAACATCTCTAGGCAGGTGGGTCTGGGCTGTGTAAGAAAAGAAGCTGAACGTGAAGGTGTTCAGTAAGTAAGAAAGCCAGTAAGCAGTGTTCCTCTGTGGTTTCTCCTAAAGTTCCTGCCTTGATTTCCTGCATTGGAAGTTGATGATGGACCACAACCTGTAAGATGAAATAAATCCCTTTCCTTCAAATGGTTTTCAGTCAGGATTTATCACAGCCACCAAAAGCAAACGAGAGCCGCCATTCTTTTTGCATGTATTTCCAGGAAAGTTGGACAAGGAGGCGCATGTCTGTTGGGGACAAGAAGTCACCTAAGGGTGTAGACTCAGCGGGCTCAGCTGCATGCACCACCTGGACCACACCCTCCACTGTGAGCATCCTGTTACCTCTTTCTCGCGAGTGAAGTTCTCAAAGAGGGCGCTGAAGGAGTCATTCATTTTCTTCTTTTCTTCCTCCGACTCTAACTCAAACTTCTTGGTCATCTTATGTTCTGTGGAGGAGAGAACAGAGCAGGTTTGTGTATCAACGTGGGGAAAGAGGGCCAGAGAGAAAGCCAGAACAACTGAAATTCTGTATTTGACTCAAGCTGAGGACCTTTCAGCTCGGGCTGCGAGCTCTGACCCTCGGCTGGGGAGAGGGGACTCCTCCTGTGGTCTCCTGAGACAGTGGCCACACGGATTATCTCAGTTCTTATAGCCACACGGCAGTATCTCAGTTCTTCGGTGTGTGGTTTAGTTTCTAGCTGTGGCTTGTTCTGTTTCCTCTGCTGGAGTAATGACTATGCTTTCTCGGGCATCTTCTTCATTAAAGCTCTTGGCTAGCCACATTGTTCATAATCAAAGTTCATGCCTAGCCCCAGGGCAGAGGTAGGCTCACTGTTCCCAGGACTGGAAGACCTGGCAGCAGAGCCCTGGTACCAAACAGAAAGATCAAACACAATTCCTTCAGTGTCCAGCTGCAGGGATGGGTGGGTGGGTGGGTGTCTCTGGGCTGACCCAGTAACTCTAGTCTGGGCTACATGATGTAAACCTAACTGGGGTTGCACCCTGACGGAGGCCTTTTTTTTTTTTCCTCCTGTGTGGTACTCTTCTGGCGCTGCAGTATTCCAGGCAAAGCCCTAAACAGATGTAGCTCCAGATCTCATTCCCAGCTTCGACTCCAGCGTCCTCTTGCTGCTGCGCCTGGGCAGTCCTTACTAGGGGAGCTGACTTTCCCAGAAGCCTTTGCAGTTAAGTGACCGATTGGATTTTAACCAATTACTGTACAGTGAATGGAGTTGGCATAGAATGCGGACTGGGTGTGTAGAAGGCTCACACCTGTCCCCATTAGACCTCTAGACCCAGTAACAATGTCTGTATCTTCCGATTTCCTTTCCTAGGATGCTCAGTGGGTGAGAGTCACAACTATGGAGTGCTTTGTATGAGCTAAGCTCTAGTCAAGTGTTAGAAATACTGAAAATACTTACCAGTCATGGCTTCTATTGTAGGAGATGTGGAGGACACAGGCTGTCAGGATAAGATTGCTTTCCCCATTCTCTCCCCCACCCACCCCCAACACATACACACTGAATAACTTAACTCTAATTCAAGAATTCCTTCTGGAATTTTAGGATTCTGTATTTCTTTTTTTTTTTTTCTTTTTCTTTTTTTGGTTTTTCGAGACAGGGTTTCTCTGTGTAACAGCCTTGGCTGTCCTGGATCTCGCTCTGTAGACCAGGCTGGCCTCAAACTCACAGAGATCCGCCTGGCTCTGCCTCCCGAGTGCTGGGATTAAAGGTGTGTGCCACAGCCTCCGGGTTCTATATTTCTTTAGAGGTCCCAATTCCCATATTTGTTCCAGCCCATGATGGGCGAACATGAAAGTTTTGGATCCCTTGATTCATGTGTCTGGAATTAGAAAAAAAAAAAAGCCTTGCCTTCATTGTCCGTCTTTCTTAGTAACTCAAGGCACCCTTCATTCAGAAAGTTCAGCCTCTGGCCTTTCACCCTTGGTAAACCCAGGGCCCCTAGAGTCAAGGTCGAGACTGACAGCGGGCTTCTTTTGTTCAGTGGCCTCTGTGGTACTCACTCTGTTGTAACAGGATCTTTTCCCGCTCCAGCTTCTCATCCTTCTCCCATTCGGCCTTCCGTTTTGACCACTTATCTTCCATTTCATCGTAAATGCTGTCCTGTGGAGGCGCAGGGGCGCTATGAAAAGAGCTATAGCATGGGGACCCCGCTGAGACTGTGACTGCACCCTCCGGTGCTCAGCACAGTGCTGGGGCCTCACCGAGGGCCCCTGTGTGGGTGATACTGAAGGCAAACAATTCCAGCTAAGCTCAGTGAAGAGCGGGAATAAGCCCCGGGGTCAGTGGCCATCTACCAACAGCATTTGCCAAGCTGGATCTGACTTCTTTGAAGACAGGTAAGGCTCTCTGTATCAGAGAATTCCATCCAATTCTGCACCTCCCCGTAAGAGGGCTCCAACTCTGGGACTTCATCAAGTTTGGGGAATTGTCCTATTTCATTGTCTATTGCTCCAATCAAAAGCAACTCGGGCAGGAAAGGGTCTATTTGACTTATACTTCCACGTTACATCCCATCACGGAGGGAAGTCAGCGCAGGATCTCAAGGCAGGAACTGGCGAACAGGCCATGGAGGAGTGTTGCTCACTGGCTTGCTCCTACGGCTTGTCCAGCCTGCTTTTATATACACCCCAGGCCCACCTGCCCAGAGGTGGCCCCACCCACCGTGGGCTGGGCTCTCCCACATGAATTATTAATCTAGAACGGGCTGTGTTCTGAAACGACACCCGTGCTGAGCTCATGGGAGGTAGAATGAGACAGCCTTTTGGATGGTAATGTGGCCAAATCTATGAAAGGCCTTAAATATGTTCAGTCCTTTGACCAGCCCTCCACTGCTAGGATTAAATATGTTCAAAGAGCTATTTTCTGTTTCAGCAAGCGATCGAAATAGCTCATGGCCAACGGGAAGGGGACAGTGAGATCCCAGAGGTGTGTTCGTTAGGATCGCAGGAACAGGAAAGGAAGGAAAAGTACTAACATGCCCAGTGAGAAGAAGATACAAAAATGCACATAGATTTGCTTTACCACAGTCTCAGTGAAAGTTAAGACACAGTGCAGGTATTTGTAGGGGTCACCTCTGGGGAGTGACAATTCTTTTTGGTGGTGTTGGTGGTGGTTATTTCCACTAAAAAACCCCAGATTTACTTGTTTTATGTGTATAAGTGTTCTGCCTGCATGTATGTCTGTGCACTATGTGTGTGCTTGGTGCCTGTGGAGGTCAGAAGAAGGCATTGGATCCCCTGGAACTGTTAGCTACACATGGTTTTGGACCACCATGTGAGTGCTGGAACTGAATCTGGGTCCTCTGGATGTGGGAGCCCACAAAGGTTTCCTCGTGAGATCTGAGCTTGCTTTACCCAGCAGGGCTGCATTAGAGGGTGGCCCTTGATCACGTGCATGGTCACCAGGTGTTTGGAAGGGTCTGCACTTGTCTGTGCTGGGTGGGTGGGGGTCTCTTTTGCTCCACCCCTTGGCATTCCTATAAATAGCCCTTTAGAGGAGAGAGAAGTGGCCAGTGGATATTGATCCAGGCCCTCCCGAGGCTATCCTGTGTTTCTGTCTGTCTCTCTCCCCTCTATATTTTTATCTAAATCTCTTATCCCTCTCTCCTCAAGAGTACCGGTGGGGGGTGGGGGTGGGGGGGAGTGGGAGCTAGTCTCCCACATCTGGAAGAGCAGCAAGTGCTCTTAACTGCTGAGCCATCTCTCCAGCCCTAGTCCTCTTCCTCTTCCGTTCTGAAAAACAGTCAACAGCAATTACTTTGATGACCATGAACATTTCTTTCAACAGGCCTCTGCAGATCTGCATGGCCGGTTTGTCAAGCATGGAAGCTTCCTGCTGGGTACAGTAGTGACCGTGTGGTGGAAGAAATGTTAGAATCTCTACAGATCGGGATTCAGCCCCAGGCTGTCCGCCAGGGATGAGCCTTGCTTTGTCTTCTCAGAATCTCCCACACAGCTCCGAGGCTCTCACCTGATACATGTGAAACATATTCTTCAGATACTTATATTCTTTGCCCATCTCCTCTGGAAGAAAAGAAAACAACAGCATTACAATTTCTGCCAGGCACACTTCCCAAATCTCACGCGAACTCCTCAGCACCACACCCGAGCTCCTCCTGAGGTGATGAAATCCTTCGCATGACTCCCCAGTCCCTCTGGAAGCGTATTAAAAACCCAGATGTTGATGCTTCCTGAGCCGACTGATGAAGAGCCTCTGGAGGAGGGGCCTGGTACTTTTTGACAAATATGTTTCTCAGAGATACTGGAACTCACATGCTCTGTTTAGCCATTTTAGTAAGAACCCCTGGGAGTAAAGCCTTGTCTGTGGGAAAGAGCAACACCTCCCAGCATGCGCATGCGTGTTTGTCCTTTTAGTAACATTTCTCCCTTCACCATGGTTCTGAAAACCACACATTCTCTATAGGAAATTGGAAAACAAGCGAAGTATAAATAAGACACTAACTTAAAATAAAGGATTATAGACTCTATAGTGTAGAGTTTCTCCTTCTCTCTGTGGGCATTAGTCTATAATCCCAGAATCTGAAGGATGCACACACTGCTCTTCCCAAGGGCCGTGTAAGCGGTGAGATCCAGTCAGGACAGCCCTACCCACCGCAGTCTTGCAAAAACAATATGTCCATTAGGATGTACTAAAATACTGCCATTTTACATGTGAGAAAACCTGAAGAAGTCATAATGATATTATAATTTTAGAACTTTAAAATGCGCTTAAAATATTTCACATTCTCGCTTCACGGATTAAAGCAGATTTTCAGAGAAAAGCAAGGATATAGCGCCCCCCCCCCCCCCATGTCATTCTTAGTCACCCGCATCCCCCTGAGCTTCAGAAAGGAAATCTTAGACATCGGGCTGTGCCAACCACGGCCATGGGCCGGGACTCGGCGACTTTCCCAGGCTTCCTCCCAGGGCCTGCCGGTACCTAGCTTCTCTTGGGCTTGTGCCTTCTCCAGCTTCAAGGCTTCTTTGTAGCTGCTCTCTAACTTCTCAAGCTCCACCTTGTGAGCCTTTTTGAGATCGCTGTGGGACAATGGGCGAAAAGAGATCCGCTGTCCGCAAGTCGGCCCAACAGGGAAGGGCGCTTGCCATGGTACCTAAGAAACTGAGCTTGATCCCCGGAAGCCATGGTGGAAAGGAAAGAACGGACTTCCAAAAGTGGTCATCTGTGGTGCCTGGCACACTGTGACCAAGTGTGTACACACACACACACACACACACACACACACACACACACACACACACACAGAGTTACAAAGAAGTCCATAGTTGAGCTGTTGCACTGACCACACACACACACACACACACACACACACACACACACACACACACCCATTCTCACTGAGGTGGGGCCCTCACTTCTCCTGGCTTCTATCCAGAGTGAGACATTTCCTACAGTCACAGAGCTTGGGCCTGGGCCTCGCCTCAGCAGGAAGCAGTCGCTGCTTCTTACAGCTCACTTACAGAAGGGCCCACGATAAACTGAGAAGCCCGGCTCCAGCCCCATGCCAGGATTCCTATGCTGACAGAGTTTGGGCGTCAAAGTGAGAGTCTCCAGGCCGTGAGTCAGAGGGAAGAAACAAACATGTATCACTAAAGGAAAAAGGCAAATCTGCAAAGACTACACGCTATGTTATTCCAATATCAGGCAAGAAAAAATGGGAGACAATAAACCAATCAGTGGTTTCTAGGCATTGCCTTGGGAAGGGGCCAGTAAGTGGAGTATATCAAGGTAATAGTGCAACCACTACGTGCAACACTCACGGTGAATACACGTCCACACACACACAGAACGTTCTGCACCAGGAGTGGCCCCCAAGCATGTGACAATGATGTATCAATGCAGGTGCATCAGTTGTGACAAATGTCCATCTTTCATGGACGCTGAAAATGGAGGCTATAGGAAGGGGCAGAACGGGTGTGTGGGCACGCTGTACCTTTCTAGTAATTTTGCTGTAAACTTTAAACTGCTAAAAAAAATAATGAAACATAAATAAACACAACCCTGCATATGTAAAATGCTGTGGCTCATATAGGGTGCTGTCTCGGCCAGGATTTCAGTTTTGCTTAAATGATGATTTATATTCCAGATGCTTACGGCGTAAAACATGCTGTTCTAATTTATGAATACAATGTGTAATAATTGAATCAATCTAGTTGACACATCCATCAACTCAATGGTTAATTTCTTTTCTTTTTTCTTTTTGGTGAAAATATTTGAAATTCACTTCTTTTTAAAAAAGTTTTTGTTTTTGGTTCTTAATTTTTTTCCTGTGTGTGTGTTTGTATATGCGAGTGTAGTGCCCGCAGAGGCCAGAAGGTGTTGAATCCCCTGGAACTGGAGTGACAGTTGTGGGCCACCACACCAATGCTGGGAACCAAACTCAGGCCTTCTGCCAAAGCAGTAGGTGCTCCTAACCATTGAACCATCTCGCCAGCCTTAAAATGTACTCATTAAAAATGAAGCACACGCCGGGCGGTGGTGGCGCACGCCTTTAATCCCAGCACTCGGGAAGCAGAGCCAGGTGGATCTCTGTGAGTTCGAGGCCAGCCTGGGCTACCAAGCGAGTCCCAGGAAAGGCGCAAAGCTACACAGAGAAATCCTGTCTCGAAAAAACGAAAAAAAAAAAAAAATGAAGCACACAATATCATTACTATTCTAAGGCCTGGAAAGCTCTTTGAAAAACATTTCTCCAGTCTGAGATTTTTATACACCTTAAAACATTTTCATTACGTTTATTTAGTGTGTATGGTGTGTGTGTGTGTGTATGGTGTGTGTATATGGTGTGTGTGTGTGTGTATGGTATGTGTATGTGTGTGTGTATGGTGTGTATGTATGGTATGTGTATGTGTGTGTGTATGGTGTGTGTGTATGATGTGTGTATGTATGGTATATATGTGTGTGTGTATGTTTGGTATGTATGTGTGTGTATGTGTGTGTGTGAGTGTGTGTATGGTGTGTGTGTATGGTTGTGTGTATGGTGTGTGTGTATGTATGGTGTGTGTATGTGTGTGTGTATGTGTGTGTGTATGGTGTGTGTGTATGTGTTTGGTGTGTGTGTGTGTGTGTGTGTGTGCGCACACACAGGCATGCATGGCATGCATGGAGGCTGGAGGATAACTGGAGGAACTCAGTCTCCTCCTTCTATCACGCGGGTCCCAGGTCCTCAGGCCCGTTGGAAGCCCCGACCCAAACTGTGTACTCGTGGACCCTCACCTCTCACGGGCTAGCCTAAGTAACCACTTGTCCCTGTTCTGTTTTCTGTGCGGCTTAGGCTCCCAACACAAGCGAGAACACATCCATTTGCCTCTGCCTGGCTAGTTTCGCTCAGCATCACGCCCTCCCTTCTCTCTGTGCCGTCAACAATTGAGATTTCCCTCTCTTTGGAGGCAGAACAGCATTTTTAAAATCTCATCTGTTGACACAACACGGGTTGGTTCTACAATGCAGCGGTTGTGCACAGTGTTCACAGAGTTCTGTGATTTTGTCAAGCACAGCGTTCACAGAGTTCAGATTCTCTCATTTCGTCAAGAACCTCAAGTTGTTCTCACCAGTCAGAAAGCAGTTACAAATAAGTGGCTGTGGATGGCCACCAGGGGCGCTGTCTTCCTTCTCACGCCCTCCCTCGGACTTGCCCTGCTCCTCCCCCAGGCCCTGAGCTGAGAGCAGGGAAAGCAGAAGGAGGGAGGAAGAGAGAGAGAGGAGGGGAGGAGAGGAGGCAGAATGTGCGCACAGCACATCGCGTGCGACAAAGCTTCGTGGAGGACAAAAAACCCGGCTTTTCTCAGCAGCCCATCAACAGACGTTTTACAGTGGAAACGAAAAGGACGCATGTTGCAAACGCAGGAAACAAAAAACATCAACCTCTTCATCTCGGTGGCTCTCTGCAGACACATCTCACACACCGTCACCCGCTGCCCTTGGCACCCCTGGGGGCCCCTCCAGGGGACTGGAACCCTGCCCGGGCTTCGCACACGGGCCTGCGCCAGGAAGCCTACCTGTTCTCATTTTCAAACTTCTGCTTCATTTCAGTGCAGCGGACATCCATCTCCTGGGAGAGCTGGAAATGGGGCCGGTGTTAACAACGTGGCATACGGGGCTCCAGCCGGCTCTCACCGGCATCTCCGCAGCCCCTCCAATCAGAGGGGGATGCGTGCCTCAGTCAGTCCTGGGTGGGCTCCGCAGTGCGGGTGAGGCTGCTTACTGTCCCCTGCCTAATCATGGTGGGGCCTGTCACCGGGCCGGGTGCCCTCTGTTCCTTCACACTTGGGGTCACTCATTTAGCCACAGGCTTGGCTGGCAGAGTCACAAAGAACCGACTGTCAGGCCGCAATCACATCCAGGGGCTCCCTGTGGCCACACAGCCCCCCCCTCACTCTCCTCCTTGCCTCCAGCTGGGGAGTCTTGGCTGCCGGCTCCTTTGAGAAGAACACTCTCCTCCATACTGTGGGCCGGGCTCTTCTTCAGAGTCCCAGCTCGCTGAGGCAATGGGGCGTGAACTCCTCAAGTCTCTGCCTGCGGTTCTGTCTGTCTGTCTGTGGTGTTAATAACTCTTCTAAAAAACATCTTATCCCACTGTCATCCCGAACGCCACACCGAGACCTCTCAAAGGTCACACTACAAATGGGCTGTTCACAAGTAGTACTATTTTCAAGACACCCCCCCGCCCCCCAATAAAGCCAGTCTCTAAAGTTGCCTTCCATTGGCCTGTGCTGGAGAGTCAACCGTGAATTTGCCTGAAGCTCCGTCACCTTACATAGAGGATTAAGTTTCTCAGACCTCAGTTTCCCTTCGGTAGAAGCCATTGAACTGGCAGAGTAACAAGATAACGGATTGGAGGTGGGAAAGGTCGCAGCCTGGTCAGGAGGCAGCTCACTGTCAGATGCTGACAGCCTGGGACCAAGCAGCCTGAGAGGCTGCTTTGGGGAGATGGAGCCTTCACAGGTTTACTTCAATAACACCAGGGTGCATGCTCTGGTCTGTCATTCCAGCCTGGTCACCAGGTACACCTGTCTGAGCTGGGGGGAAAAGGGATCAAACTGGACCTGATGACCAAAATGTTAAAAATGTCACCTGTTTTGAAAAAAACCACATCAAGACTGAAAGGACTCCAGCTGCTTCTGAAGAATGGGCACTGAGAGCTTAAGAGTAACAGAGAGTGGACGCCGGGGGCTTCCTAGAAGCTTCTGCACAACATCCTCCATGCTGGGGTCGTTAGCAAGAGCCTGGCAACCACTGCAGCTGTATCCACCACAAAGGCCAGAGGGGGAGCAATCAGTGACCCGAGTGTGGAGAAGACAGTGTCACCACATACCCAGAGGCACCCGGAGAACCTCTGGAATGGAACGTCTTTGAGTTTTTAGTTATGGACGAGGATGCAGGCAGAGAAATACTGCTCAGTGCACAGTCCTCTTTGCGGAGTCCTGCGCCTGGATAGCATGGCTCAGTACAGTGAAGTGCCTGTCGTGTTGCCTGGCACGCAGGCGCCCTGACAGTGTTAGTCCTGAGGGTGTGGTCGATGCCAGGGTCACTCACTAGCTTCTGGGCCGACTGGTGGTCTCTGTTCATTTGTTGTATTATTGCTGTCAGCTCGGAGATCTGCTCCTCAAGGTCCGAAATGATGTCAGTCCTGTGGGACAAACACTTCTGTCACCACCAGACCCCAGGCTGCCTAACCCAGGTCTGCCTTGTGCCTCCTCCACCACTATGGCATGGGGATGCAGCGGTGGAGGGTGGTCCTGAATAAGGCATTTCATAGTGGCGTGGTTGGACCTTAAGGGGAGCTAGCTGGTGCTGTGGGATGTCTTTCTGTATGCTGTGAATGTGTGTTGCTCTCATTGGTTGATAAATAAAGCTGTTTGGCCAATGCTGAGGCAGAATAAGGTTAGGCGGGACATTCCAACTGGAGAGAGAGGAAGAAGTAAGGCAGAGGGAGGAGACGCCAGCTGCCACCAAAGGAACAACATGCCAGCAGACTGGTAAGACACGTGGCAAAACATAGATTAAGAATTGTGGGTTAATTTAAGTGTAAGAGCTAGTCAGTAATAAGCCTGAGCTAATGACCAAGCAGTTATAATTAATATAAGCTTCTGACTGATTATTTTGTAAGTGGCTACGGGACTGTGGGGGGGGGCAGGACTGGAGAAAACTTCCAGCTACAAGCTGGAAGTGGTCAGGGCAGTGTGGTGTCCTGCTGAGCAGAAGAGAAATGAGAGTGAGTGTGTCGGACACTGAGCGGGGTTTGGTTGTCGCTGGTTGAATGCAAGAGGGAGATGTGCGGAGGGTTAGGAAATGGGAAAGCCTGGGAAGACTCATTCTGCCTGGCTCTAATGGGCTTTTTATACACTGTCCAGGGGAGAGGCAAAAGACCTCACTTTTTCAAGATCAAAGCACAATGTACAGCCGGGCGTACAAAACTACCCAGAGAAACCCTGTCGGGGGGGGGGGGGGGGAAGAAGCCCATTAGAATAAATCTCGAGGCAGCTGGATATTGATCCAGGGCCCTCCTGAAGCTATCCTGTGTCTCTGTCTTTCTCATTGTCTCCTTCTATATTTCTAATACTTCCTCTTTTCTCTCTCCTCCCAAGAACCCTTCGACAGGTCGGAGCTGGACTCCGACACAGGGTGTGTGCCACTGTGTCTTGAGAACAATATTTCTCACAGCAGACTAAAGCTGGATGGAGGAGACACTGGGAGAGCCATCTAGTACTACAGTAAGGAGTGAGAGGCCTGAATTCAGGAAGGATAGCGGGGGAAACGGAAGACGTGAGTGAGAGGTCTGGGAGGTAGAATCGAAACGTATGAGCATGAGCATGACATCAGAGGGTCGCAAAAGGGGAGGGCTTCAGAGAAAGAGCAATGGCTGGTACCAGGTCAGAACCTTCCAAACTGCATCTCCCAGAGCCATGGGCATTTTTGGATCACTTATAATGGAGAAAGAGATGCATACTCCAGTCTTCCAGAAACTGGCTTTGCTCTTAATTCCCACACTCAGAATCCAGACTATTTTTGAATATTTCACCTGTCTCTCCCTGGCGAGAGCGCTTTCCTCTTTAGTGTAAATCATGCTAGCTGGGCTGTTTTCTGAGCAGGGACCTGCGACCTGGACGTGGACATCGGGTATTTACCGGGGCCAGGCTGGGCTGGCTAGCTGGGCAGAGCCAGCTCTGAGAAACTGGTGTTGATCCAAAGACTTTACCTGGAAAACTTGACTTTGCTCAAGATGTCCGATTCTGAGTGTTTTTTCCTACTGAACATCTCATCTCCCAAGGTGACCGAAATCTGTTCTCGATTTCGAACAAGTTTATAGCCAGGTGACACGTCAATCACTTCCTGGGTCTCCAGGGGGAAGGCAAAGAGAAACGGTGAGCCTGGAGAAGCTGAGATTCCTCCCCCTGCTGTGGGCTTCCTCACGTCTTACACACAGAGACACTGTGCTGAGATCCAGGGCCCAGGACCCTTCTGTGCCTCCTCCAGCCACTGCCCTCCAATCCAATCTCAGATCCAATCCCAACTCCCCCGCCCCCGGCCCCTCAAACTCAGCAGTTCCAACTGATCCTTCGACACCCCTCCATCTCCCCCTCCCTCCCCATCCTCCACTGTGGCCAGCAGCTGGGCATTGTGGGAGTTGTTCAACTTTTGGAATTGGACAGGCCAATTTTTTAAAATATTTGGCCCTGGAGCTACTTTACATCTCTGTGACACAGTTTCCTCTTCAGAAAAATGGTGATAATAACGCCTCCAAGGGGCTTTTGTAAGGGGGAAGAACAACAAAATAAGATACAAGGAGATGGTTAGTGTGGGTGCAGACAGATGCGGTGAGTTCATCCTCTTCCTTCATTAGCTGCCAGGACTGAATCCTGGCAGTCATTGGCTAACGTGGATACAATCACAGCTTCTAGATGTGTGCAGACCACTCTGCAGTACCACAAGTCACCCCGGCCATGGTGGCCACCTCCTAACTGGCATCTCTGCCTCGCCTTCCTTTAAGCCTTGTCCCACCATAGACCAAGGGCCCAGCATCTTGTGCTTGGGTTCTCAAGACACCACTGTCCCAGCGGGTCTCTGCTTTCGCTCTGGTGCCCCCAATGTTCCAGACCTTTCCATCTAACGGTGATTCTCTTTGCTTATTTTGTTCCCGACCATTAATGGTGCCCTTTAAAGGACTGTGTGGTCCTTGTTTAGGAAGGGGGGGTAGGGGTGGGAATGGTGAAATGATAAAAATAAAAAGTAGCCAGAATGTCCTACGAGAAAGTGCATTTTCTAAAGGGTAAATAAACCGGGTCTCATGCCTATGTCAGAACCATGGTGACTCATGCTCTGAGGCCCATGTCTTTGTTTTTGCTGGCTTTAGGTGCCTTGACAGCCCCTGCCTCAGGATTTGCAGCTCCCACTATGGCAGAGGGCTTCCTGTATTGGGGCATGAGTCGTAGCCTGAACAAGCACCATCTGCTTTCCCCCAGGGACTTACACAAACAAGGGAGAGTAGCTGGGGTTAGTTACAGTTCGGCCCGGCTGCTTACCAGCTACATAAAATGTGCACCATTAACACTAGGAGGATTGCTCCAAGGCTCTCTGTTAAGTTTCGGCAGAGTGAGTGTGTAAAAACCCCATGCTTGCACACAGTAGCTAGATAAATGCTCTTCCGGTCCTTTCCCCATTTCTACTCACAGGAGGAAGTTTGCTGCTCTCCCCCGGCTTTCCTGTCTGGGCTTTGTCTCTGCAAGAGAAGAATGTGCTCAGAAAGCAATGGGAGCAGCCGAAAGGCCGAGCCCAGGGGATGAGCCCTGACGCGGCCACCTCTGACCTTTGGTCTCCTAGGCCGGTTACTTGACCTTCTGGGGAACCCTGGGGAGCTGGGGAACACTCTGGTGAGGGGACAGTCCACAATGGATGTGGGTTGGGGCTGCACTCTCGAGCTCCCAGGGAGAACCGAGCCTTGCCTTTTGCCAGCTTCTGGAGGCTTCCCATGTCCCTAGTGGTCATCCCCACAGTGGTCACTTCTCTCTGGCTGACATTCTCTTCCATGAGTGCATTGGCCCCACTTGGAGAACATACAGACGGAGGAACGTCTACATCTCAGTCGGTTACCTGACAACTTCCGTCCTCCGCCCCACCCCTCCACCTTCCCACCTCTGCAGGCTATGTCCTTTCTGCCACTCCCTGCTTCCTCTCCTCCTCTGAGCTGAAATCACTATGGATTTGGTTTGTGGGGGGGGGGGGGGAAATCAATGGATTCTGGCACATTTTTGACATCTCTGGTAGCAAATTAGTTCAAGCCAGCATGGATGTGGAGGTCGTGTGTGTGTGTGTGTGTGTGTGTGTGTGTGTGTGTGTGTGTGTGAGAGAGAGAGAGAGAGAGAGAGAGAGAGAGAGAGAGAGAGAGAGAGAGAGAGAGAGAGAGAGAGAGGGAGAGAAAGAGAGAGAGAGACCCCTGGGTAACTGAGGCATCTGTTGGTACAGGGCCTCAGTGATGGAGAAATCCAAAATGGGTGTGGGCGGGGCTATCCTCTGGAGCTCTCAGTTACTTACTTTAGGGAAACAACAGGTTTTATCGGTTGGGACCTGGAGGTAGTTGTGTCCTCTTGAAACTGGTGTGGGAAGAGTTTGCCTGAAAGTGATAAAATAAACACTGGAAATTAAAAAATATGTCTCAACACTCCCCATTAAGGGCATATCCGTGGTGACTCCGAATTGGAAAGAATGACGTGACAACCAGAGTCATGAGGACTGAAGGCCTTGAAGACCTCAGCTCTCCTCCTTGTTCTTGTCTACTATCTCCAAGAAGTCCTGGTTGTCAGGGCAACCCCCAAAGCCATTGTTCCTGAGGAGGGACAGCTGCCACCAAAGCTCTGGGTGTCACACACACACACACACACACACACACACACACACACACACACACACCCCTGCAGAATTGCAGACTCAAGCCTTCTTTATTGAAACGTTGAGTCAGACAGGTCTGCCAGAACAGGGCAGCAGCCAGGCTGGTTGGAAAGGCAGGAAAGCAGGGCTTCCTGTCCTGTGGGGAATTTGTGGTGCTCTCGACTGGGGAGTCTTATAAGACAAGGAGGACTGCAAAAGAAACCGTCACTTCCCTCTACCTAGCTCAACCCAGTGTATTCTTTACTTAAGCTTCCCTGAGGAGGTCTTTGGAAGTGGATGAGGGGTCTTGATTAGCTTCCGTGGGTCCCAAGTTCCAGGGGTCCCAGCAGGTGCAGTAGATGAGAGGGTTGGGATGATACATGGTCGGGGTCAGACGTAGTCGTGGTTGCTCAGTCGGTGGGCTCTGGCTGAGATGAGAAGACACCAGAGGTTAAACCACTCAGAACCAAAGCAAACAGAGATTGGGAAGGATCCAGGGGCAGCCCGAAGAACCACCGCAGAGGTTGAGCTAATGTAGGCTCTCCCTGTAGAGTGATGGATGCCTCACACAGCTTGCCACCTGACCTGAAAGCAATTAACATCTTCCACAGTTGAATTACCACTAATCCAACTATACAGTCCTTGCTCAACTATTGCTACCCAGGCTTCCAGGTGACAGACAGAGATGTCACGGAGGCAGCACATTGCATTTGGGAGCACACGTTCCCTTGGTTTCTGTGGCCTGTTCCTCCTCAGGTTTACATTAGCTAACTCTGCAGGACGAGAGATCCCCACAGCAGATCCCGCACAGAACTTCCTGGGAAATTCGCCCTATTCTCCAACTAGAACATGAATGCATCTCCTGTTTCTCGATTCGGGCCACCTGCCTGAATTGCAGAAGGGAACTAAAAAACAAGTCCCCACCATGACTACTGCACAGAAGACAGCTGTCGGGTGACCCCAGAGGTACGCCTCCTGAGGACCCTGATGTAGGGAGTTGACAGATCTGATGAGCCTGTAGCAGGATGAATGGTGTCCTTGTCATTCAGCAAGACCCGCCTCTGTACCCATCCCCCAAACCTGTGGCATATACGACCTTACGAAGAGAAAGAGACTTTGTATTAAGGAGGGAAAATTGGGTCAGAATGTCAGGGTTATGTAGCCTGTCCCCCTCATGACATGTTATGACAGTTTTGGGGGGTGCTTTGAAATCAGGTGGGCCTGACTTTATACATTAGACACTGGATTGCAGGAAACCTTCTTTTCTGAGCCTATTGCCTTGACTATAAAAGTCCTGCCCATGCCAGTGCCATGCTGGGTTGCGTTGCTGTGCCCACCTAAGACCTAGGGGAGCTCCCGGCCTGCACATGGAGACGAACGCTGTGAACGACTATTTTGCACATAGAAATTTTTCTTTCTACTAAAAAAAAAAGGAATATGGGTTGATTTGTATGTGTGTGTGTGTTATTACGATAAAAGCAGCTCATTATAGAGACAACCACAACAGAAAACACCAAGGAAATAAAAAATATCAAAAACATAACATCCAAACATGACCACTGAAAATATGTGAAGGAATGCCTTCCAGAATTTTCTGCATTCTAAAGATTTGCAAAGCTTTTCATAGACAGAAGCAAACTGTATTTACACCTTGGATACATTGTTTAAGATAATGCCTTGAGTTCCTGTTATATAGGAATGTAAAATGACATCATTTAAAAAAATGTTAAGTTTTTTGCAGTCAAGAAATTTAAAAATATGCCAAATGTAGAAAAGAGTATAATAACCTCACCTATCCCATAGTTTTAACAATTGTCAAAGTGACTAACCCTATGCCCCACCCCCTCCATTTCAATCCTCTAACATCACTATTTTAAAGCAAATTTAAAACAATCTTTCAAATAAGTCTGAGATCAGTTTCCTAATCATTGCAATTCTAAAACTTAAAAAAGATTTATTTTTAGTTTTATGTGTTTTTTATCTGTGTGAGTGTATACCATAGGTGTTCAGGAACCCACAGAAGCCAAAAGAGAGCAGTAAATATTCTGGAGCCGGAGTTATAGGCTGTTGGGAGCCACTGGATGTGGTTGATTGAAGCCAAATTTGGGCTCAGCAAGCACCCTTCATCACCACGCGTTTTTCTTGGCCCTCCGCTGTAAATGTCTATGAATGCATTTATTTATATATTAACCAGTTTTGTATTGGTAAATGTTTGTTTCCTTTTTCCTCATTGTAAAAATGCTTTGATATTTATTAATTTGCTCTTTAAAAAAAAGTTCCCTTTGCATTCGCTGGGACCATATTCAAAGCATTTAAAGCCAGTAATATAAAACTGATGAGCCATAGATGCAGGCTATTAGGAAATCACGTGGTGGGGCTGAGGGTGTCGGGCAGAACTGGGACAAGCAAGATGGTAGGGAGCACACAGGGAGCCTTTTGACAAAGGCCATTTACTGTGTGTGTGCGTGTGTGTGTGTGTGTTGTGTTTCTGTGTTGTGTGTGTTGTGTTTCTGTGTTGTGTGTGTGTGGTGCATGTGTGTTGTGTGTGTGTGATGCATGTGTGGTTTGTGTGTGGTATGTGTGTGGTGTGTGTCTGTGTTGTGTGTTGGGTTTCTATGTTGTGTGTGTTGAGTGTGTGTGTGATGCATGTGTGGTTTGTGTGTGGTGTGTGTGTGTGGTGTGTGTGTGATGTGTGTGTTGTGTGTGTTGTGTTTCTGTGTTGTATGTGTTGTGTGTGTGTCTGGGATGTGTGTGTGTGGTGTGTGTGGTGCATGTGTGTTGTGTGTGGTATGTGTATTGTGTGTGGTGTATGTGTGTCATGTGTGGTATGTGTGTGTATGTGTGTGTTGGTGTGTGTGGTATGTGTGTGTGGTGCATGTATGTTGTGTGTGGTATGTGTGTATGGTGTGTGTGTATGTGTGTGTTGGTGTGTGTGATATGTGTGTGTGGTGCATGTGTGTTGTGTGTGATATGTGTGTGTGGTACGTGTGTTGGTGTGTGTGGTATGTGTGTGTGGTATGTGTGTTGGTGTGTGTGGTATGTGTGTGTGGTATGTGTGTTGGTGTGTGTGTTATGTGTGTGTGGTATGTGTGTTGGTGTGTGTGGTATGTGTGTGTGGTATGTGTGTTGGTGTGTGTGGTATGTGTGTGTGGTATGTGTGGTGTGTGTATGTGTGTTTCCCTTTCCTGTATTATCTCCCCGGTGTTTCCGTCAAAGCTGGGAGGGCTGGCTGTGAGCTACTGAGCTAAAGAAAGGATCTAGGCGGTTGTTTGGCTCGAACTGTTTGGGGGGCACCCAGGCAGGGGGGTCGGGATCTGTCCCTGGTGCATGGGCAGGCTTCTGGAACCCGGTGCCTGTGGTGTGACACCTTGCACAGCCTTGGTGCAGTGGGAAGGGGCTTGGACCTGCCTAGGCTCAGTGTGCTGGGTTCTGCTGACTCCCCATGGGAGACCTCGATTTGGGGGAGGTGGGGATGTGGGGTGGCTTGGGAAAGAGGGTTGGGGTGGGAGGAGGGAGGAGAGGGTATCTGTGGATAGTATGTGGAGTAGAAAATTTTTTAATAAAGAAAAAAGAAAAGGAAAAAAAAAAAAAAAAGGGATCTGGATTATAAACAGCCCGCAGGAAAATCTTCCCAGATTTTACCTTAATTCTTTCAAAGATTCATTTTCCCTGTGGTTCCCTCCCAAGGTGAGAGTCTTAAAGAAACCATCATGTTGCAGGGAAACAAGACTCCATCAGCACAAAATCGGGGTTCATTTTACACCAGATCAAGACGTTTCAGACTCATGGCTTCTGTGCTTATCCCCAAGGGCTGAGCTGCCCAGGCGGAAATCCACAGGACCTGCTGGAGACCTGCAGACCCAGCCAACGGCTTTCAGAAGGGTGCAGCGGGCAGGAGCTTCCCTGAGAAGACGGCTCAGCTGTCCCCAGTTGTTTCAGAGAAAGTCACGCTTGAGAAAGCCACCCTCTGCCCAGAGTCTCTGACAGCGCCTGCCTTGGGAGATTTGCTCTGGGGAGATGGCGGGAGGGTTTGTTTCTTCTGTCGCCATGGAAACAGAACGGTGGCGCCTCATTGGCTCAAAGCAGAAGGTTGGAGAAGCAGCCAGTTAAATCCTCCTAGACTCAAATCAGTGACCACACTCACCAGCGGGGAATTCATATGAGATTTTTGCTTCATTATCAGTCATGAGGCTGAAGAAGGTGAAGATACATTTCCAGAGCAATGGAATTCTACAGCAGCCTGGGCCTCAGTGGCGTATGGCCACAGTCCCGGGCTTTGGCAATTGATTTTAACTGTCTCTGTTTTCTCAGAGTCCTAGAACTCTACAATGGATGTGTCCTCCTTTTTTGTTTTTGTTTTTGTTGTTTTGTTTTGTTTTTTGTTTTGTTTTTGTTTTCGAGACAGGGTTTCTCTGTGTGGCTTTGCACCTTTCCTGGAAATCACTCTGTAGACCAGGCTGGCCTCGAACTCACAGATATCCACCTGGCTCTGGGATTAAAAGCTTGCACCACCACTCCTGGCGGATGTGTCTTTCTTGAAGCTTAGCTTTGAGATTTGTGGACGTCCACAGGGATGGGCCATTTTCCAGATACCTATGGTTTCAGATTCTTTTTTTTAAACAAAGCTGATCTTGCCAAATAAAACAAAAAAGACAAAACAACCAAACTAAAAAAGTGCCTGCTTATTCATTTTTATTTTATCACAACTCACTAAAAGACACACATTTTATAATGAAAATTCACAAACAATACCTTATCGCTTACTATTCTGTTTCTCTTTTCTAAATTAAGGCTGATTCTAATCCATTAGATGACTCCTAGTTCAGTGATGTCCCACATCCCATAGTTTACAAAAGCTAGAAGTTCACAATCTGCGTGTGTCCTGCCTGAATACCAGGCTCCATAGCTAGGCATGGGGCAACACCTCAGTTCTATGCTCTGTTGAGCTGAAAGACTAATTTGGAAATGATCAGTTCAATAAAAGCACAATTACTCTTTTGTGATTTTTTTTCCTCTAAGACATGGTTTCTCTGTGTAGCCCTGGCTCTCCTGGAACTCTCTCTCTGTAGACCAGTCTGGCCTCAAACTCACAGAGATCCACCTGCCTCTGCCCCTGCATGTGCCACAACCCAGCCACAACGAGTCTTATGTTAAGAGACTCAACCATGTGTTAACAAGAACTTTAACCAGAGAAGGAATCTGACTAGATCTACATATAAGGACGATCATGGTGACTGCAAGGCAGAGAAACAGGTGGAGGAGCCTTCACTGGAGACAAAGAAACCGGGTAGGAATGTCTCAGAGGCTGATGAGTCCTAGGTGCGGTCCTGGAGGGCCAGCACTGGGGGTGACCAGAGGACAAGGTAGGCTGGGACATGGGAGGGAAGGAAGGAGAGGCATCGTGACTCCTGGGTCTCCAGTTCCAGTGACTGAATTGTTGTTGGTGCCTATGGTGGTTTAAAAGAAAAGGACCCCCAAAGGGAGTCGTACTATTAGGAGGTGTAGCCTTGTTGGAGGACGTGTGTCACTGTGGGGATGGGCTTTGAGGTCTCCTAGGCTCAAGCTACACCCAGTGACACAGTTCACTTCCTGTTGCCTGTGGATCAAGATGTAGGACTCTCTGCTACTTCTCCAGCACCACGTCTGCCTGCATGCTGCCATGTCCCACCATGATGCTAATGGACTGAATCTCTGAAACTGTAAGCCAGCCCCAATGAAATGTTTTCCTTTATAAAAGTTGCTGTGGTCATGGTGTCTCATCACAGCAATAAAACATTAACTAAGACAGTGCTGTTCACTGTTAGGAGTAAGTTGGGAATGAACAAGTTTGGGAAGAGACCATGCATCCTGTTTTGGGCATGTTGAGGTACCAGGGGGACATCTAAGTGGTGATGTCTACTGAAGAATTTATTAAAAGTTCCATAAGTTCAAAGAACAGTCTAGAAATAGATTTAGTGGTTGATTGAGGGGGTACATGAACACATAGGGGACAGTATCATGTGAGAAGGTGGCCTGGAACCTAGCTCCAGGCAAAGCCAGCATCGACAGCCACCATTCCTCAAACTTGTCAACGCAAACACACACAACTGTTGGTTATTCGTGGCTTAAGGCAAGCAGGTCTGCCGTCTTCGTGTAACAGGGAGTCTGGAGGCAGAGAATCAGTCAGTGGGAGGAGTCAGCCCCATGCCTGGGGATCCGGGTTCTGCTAGGCCAGCCTCATTGTGCCAACTAAGAGAAGCCTTGTGGCTTCTACAACTCCAAGGGCCGTGAACAGACAAGACGGAGAGAGACATTCCGAACTTAAAAGGAGGGAAAGAAATAACAAAGGAAATTTGATAGATTTAACTAGATTATTTACTTTGAACCTGTTCATCATGTAATTTGTCATATTCTATGACAAAGTCAAATTCAAACAATATCCATTCACAACTCCAGCCCTATAGAAAGTACTAGAAGGAAAACTCCAACCCAAGGAGGTTAACCACACTCATGAATGTTGGAAAACCCCACCCCTAAGCCCACTTTCAGTAACCTAGCGACAGCAGGCCACAGCACCGTCAGCCACCATCTGTGGCACATCTTCACTGTCGCCAGAAGTCACACACACTCCCTATGTGAACGCGCTATGGTATGCCCCGCCCCCTTACAAAACGCCGGTGCCTTCTCTTCCTGCTCTCTTTCCTTTCCACCCTCGCTCAGAGGCGGCCTGGGCACCCACCCTCCCCCAGTAGACTCCTCCAGTGACCCCTGTTGCATGGTGCGACTTTGTGGCATTTGTTCACTCCGATCTGCCAAGGTCCCTTCTGCAGCATAAATTATAACAATAAAAACACAGGGAATAATCTCAAAACCAGAAAAACCAAAAGAAGGAACCCCCCCCACCACCACCATCATAATAACAGGAATTAACAATCATTGGTCATTAATCTCTCTCAATATCAATGGACTCAATTCCCCAATAAAAAGACACAGGCTAACAGAATGGTTTCCAAAACATGATCCATCCTTCTGTTGCATCCAAGAAACACACCTCAACATCAAAGACAGACACTACCTCAGAGTAAAGGATTAGAAAAAGATTTTCCAAGCAAATGGACCCAAGAAGCAAGCTGGTATAGCTATTCTATGATCTAACAAAGTAGACTTCCAACCAAAATCACTCAAGAGATGGGGAAGGACACTTCACACTCATCAAAGGAAAAAATCTACCAAGATGCCATCTCGATTCTTAACATCTATGCCCAAATGCAAGGGCACCCACATTTTAGCTCTTGCTGGTGACACCACTTGCCAGCCGACAGCCATACTTACTTCTTTTTGGATTTGAAAATTTTGCGGCACTTGACCCTTCATATAAAACAATGAAAAACAAAACGGTGTTAGGGGAAGTCAAACTTAATACAGTGAGAACAGACAGAAGCCAACATGATACTCAAAGCCTGCATTCTTGTTGGGTTTCGGATGTATGAATGTAGACTAATATTTATGAAAGAAAACACAAAGAAATTGACTGAGAATGTTACCAAAATTTTATGTCCAAAAGTAGTTTCATATTTCATTCATGATTCTCAAAATGTCCACAATCCAGTATGGATATTGAATCTAACCCAGCAAGGGATACACTGTTTGTTTTTGTTTTGTTTGAGACAGGGTTTAATAATAATAATAATAATAATAATAATAATAATAATAAAAATAAAATCCAAAAACCAAAATCAGTCTTAGCTGTCCTGGAACTCGCCCTGTGGACCAGGCTGGCCTTGAACTCAGAGATCTGCCTGCTCCTGCCTCTTGGGTGCTGAGATTAAAGGTGTGCGCCACCACCACTGGTTATCAGGGGACATATATAGCTCAGTGATGGCGCACTTGCCTATGAGTGAGTCTTAGCTTCAATCCCCAGTACCACAGGCAAAGCAATCAACACAAAAACAAAACTGTGAAGGAGAAACAAGGACATTGAATGAGCTTTTCTATTAATTCCAACAATGTTCACACTTAAGAAAACAATTTCTAATAGCTGTGTGATCAGGAAATTGTGGACTATAGGAAAAGAATTGCATCATACTTTCTGAACCTTCCCACATCCACCGTCTGCTTAGCAATGGCTTTATTCTTGGTTGGTGTTACTCTGGGATGGAGCTGTTGTGATACACACTCATGGTGCAGTCTAGGTCTAAAAATACCTGAGGGCCGGCAAATGGTTCGGTGGGGAAGGGCACGTGACATCAAGCCTGAGCACCTGAATTTGATACCCAGAAGCTACATGGATGAAGGAAAGAACTGACTCTTACAAACTGTCTCTGACCCCAACATCATCCCCACATTAATCACTTTTAAAAGTTAAAAAAAAACCAAAACAAAAAACTGTAATATATTCTAAGACTTGCTTACTACTTGACTATTAATTTTTTTATTAGTTCAACAAATATGGGATGTTTTCTAATAAAACCAACATAAAGACTCCATGCTGGATCGTATGAGACTGAGACAAGAACCACAGGAAGACACAGGACAGTTTGAGAATTAGCTACTTGTGTTTATTTTCTGATTGACAATTGGTATAACAAAGGCAGGTGCATACAGAGCTATTTGATAAGGTCCAGTTCCAGATGTGACACAACGGTATTCTCCTGGAGCCCCCAGGGCCCCATGCCATGCCTGGGGCCACACTCAGAATTCGGGAGAGGGGCTGTGCACGCCTCTGCTCACCCGACAGCAGAGGTGGCCCCAGACACAGGCAGCCCCAGTTCCAGATGTCAAGCTGACGTGAGAACCACCCACTACTAATTATGCACTAGGAGCCTGGAATACTGTAGAAAAGATGCCCTCAGTAGAGGACAGGCTCTCGTGAGCCTGACATCCCCCGTTGACAGAGCCTGACCATTTACGTCAGACCAAGGGCAGAAACCAAAACCTACTTAATTAACAAGGGCATTATTAACGTCTAAGGATTTAAACCTAAGGCTATTTACATAAGGTTTGGGGTCTTCAAAATTCAGGGCAATTTTAATTCTGAGTTCGAGAAGACTCTCCTACTAGGTAACAGGACACTCAGAAGTACCTGAGAAATAATCACAGAAAACCCTGAAGGAGAAAACAACTGGGTTTTCCCACCAAGCATGAAAGTACATACCAGCCGATACTGTAAACAAAACAAAAAACACTGTGAACAGTATCGGAGCATAACAATTCCACCGGGGAAGAACTTGCTGGAAGGCTCTACTTCGGATTACATTTTACAGACAGCCTGATGTAACAGATTCTCAGTACCAAAAATAACTTTAGGCGAAAACTTCAGAATCAGCAAAACCCAGTTTTAAGACAGGATTCATTTGCAGAGACAAGCATGCACCAGGGTACAATTACTATGTTCCAAAGGAACATCAAAAAATCATTTTAATTGTCAAAATCCCGTCTGGTTTAACCAGACGTGCTCACTTGGTGCTAAGACACCATTCTGCCTCCAGTGATCACTTAGGCACTGACTACACAAAAGTATAGAAGTATTCTCAACACAGAACTCCACAGAATTCAGCTTAATTACTGTGGTATATGTGGCATACAGAAGCCTGGTTATTTAACACCTTCCGACCCTCTCGAGCCCTCGCTTCCCTACTTCCTGCGGCTCCTTCTTCGGAAGCTGTGAATGTCCAAGCAACAGAAGAGTCCTTTCCTGGGGAACCAAGACAAAGCTTGGAGCTTTTGCTGAGGGAGGCACCCAGTTATTTATAGACTAGAAATACAAATGCTATTTTAAAAAATGAATTGGAATATTTAGGAAATTGAACCACCAGGAAGTCTTGTGTTAATGCCTGCTTTATCAAGGTCACTTGCTAACCCGGAGTCCTTCCTAAACGTGTGCGTGGTCTGTTGACAGCAGCGAGACCAGGCAAAGGGTGACAAAGGTGTGTGTGTGGGTAGGGGGGGCATCTTTCCACCCTTTGTTTCGGAGAAATTTATTTAGAAAAGTGTTAGTAAAGGTTCTAGAAACACAGAAAACCCATAGGTTCTTACCATTGCATGAATTTTATTTTTGACCCTTTGCGTGCATCTCTTCTTGGGGAGGAGACTCAAGGGCGAGAAGGAAGCAACCCCCTGCAGACATAAATTCCTCTCAAGCAAAATATTTGCAAGTTAAGCACCGAGAGGACCAACTACGAGACTTCCTGTTTTTACAGACAGAACAGGGAATTCCCACTCATCTTCTCCCCGGGTGTGACACTTTCTTGAACAACTCCTCAGAGACAAAGCCTTGGCCTGCCACCTCAGAAAGCAGAGCCTTCTCCCCAACTCAAGGCCTGCATCACACTGCCGAATGCTGAACCCAACTTCAGGCCTCACTTGTCTTAGCTCTCCCATGAGCAAGGTCCTTCTCTACTCCCGCAGACACCAAGAACTAGGCAGCTGTCTTTATTACGTAAGGAGAACAACGGAATCCAACACACACACTCTCGAAGCAAGAGCCTGGGTTTTACTTCAGTTTATAATTTAATGTGCCTGAGAATTTTTGTGCAAATACTTGTCATCTTTCATTAAAAATATGCATAGCACACTTTGGGAAAAGTTAGTTACAACTAACTTTTCTTAAAAATTTACATATATAAATATACAACATAATCTACGTCCTACTGATTGCGCTTCTGGTTCAAATCCTTCCGGCCTCCAAGGACATTTGAGAAACATGCAATTATGCCTGCATTCCTTGGCCACCATATTACCCAGAAGAAATATCCTGAAAAACTTTCTTGATTCCAATTCACCCCCATTTTCCTTCTGAAATCCCTCCCAAGCCCACTCACATTACAATTTTCAAAATTTTTGTTATGTTGTACAAAAATACAAGTTTAAAAAACTGGAGTTTTAGTAATCATAAATACAAAGAAATCTGGGTGGTATTTGGGTTCTCAGTGCCTGAACGTTCTGAAAAGAGAAAGTCTCCATTTTTGAAATAAGGGACAGGAGAAAACTCCTTATTTGCTAATGCTGTGAGTGCACCATTGGATGGATGCAAATTTGACCAGGCATCAGCAGGGAAAGCATCTACAGTCTCAGGAACAGACCACGCCCTGCAGCACCCTCTGGGGCAGCCTCCTGCTGGGACAGCCAGGGTCCTAGCTTTCCTCCTAGGCAGTGTCTCCTGCGTGTTCTAGGGACAGAGGGGCCAGCAGCTCAGTATTACTGCCGTGTTTCAATAGGATTGGATTTCCTTTTCTACTCTTCATTTTCAAGGCAAGGCAACTCAGCTGAAGAAGCGCGCTAACCCCTCCATTTCTGTCTCCAGCCTACTCACGTCACTTGTTCCCACCTTCCGTTTACTCGACTCCATCCTCGAAGCCCTCATCCAATGCTTCCATCCCCCCACTACACCTCTCCACATCCGCAACCCTTCTGCGACATTCTTTTTCTCTCCTCAGGCCGGTACCCATTCTCAGTGCGTCTCAATCCTTCATGTGCTAATTTATACATGAGGTCAGTAGTGATGAGCCTCAGTCTTCCTTCAGGATACCCATTTTGGGTGAGGCTGTGCAAACTGGGGCTCCAAAGCTACCCATCATGACCGGGAGACTCTGATTCCTCCTCAGTCCACCCAATAAACTGCCACTTGAATTTAAATAAACAGCAGACTCTGGCCTCTGAAGACCCATTTCTGCCTCTCGGCTTTTCCCGTTCTCCTGGGGGTCAGGGGTCTTGACCACTCTGGCTATCCCCAGTCTCTTCAGCCTGTCCACCAAGTTCATCTTCAGCTGGCCAACATCAGGAGGAGTCCTGGAAGGTCTCAAGCCATACATTTCTTGTAGGAATGTTTCAGCTGGTCGGGAAGCCAGAAAGTTCTCGGAGACATGGACTCGGGGCTCAAAGGGCAAGGGGGAAGAGCATGGTGACTGTGACGGGGAATTTGGTGGTGTGGAAGGGGTGGCCAGGGCCTTGGGGCGAGGCTGCAGGAGGGGGTCTTCTGAAGCTGGGCTGTGGTACACCTTAGCAGAGATGCCTCGCTCCTGCAGAAGCTTGGCTAAACTCCGCGTGCTGCTGAAGGTTACGGTAGAGTCGCGCCGGTTTGTGATGGATTCCCCAATGCTGAGTCTATAGGACACAGCAGGAGAGTTCACAGCCGTGTGGGATGAGCTGCTCCCGCTACTTCCACAGGACAGTGACAGGAACCCGGAGCTGGGAGAAAAGAGGGAGAGTGCCTCGGAATCAGGGACACCACACCGACACTTAACACAAAGAAAATACACCAAGGAAACAATGGCGTGCTCAGCCTTGCACGCAGGGCAACCTCTCATTTGCACGAGGATGACCAACCCGCTGTGTTCTCAAGGACAGCCTTTGCAATTTTATTTCACTGGAAAACAGCGAATGTCTAATTGTGAAACTGCCATTTTCTCAAACAGTGTTAACTCTAAACCACAGTAAAACATGGATATTCATGAACCGCATTCTGAGTCTTGCTTTGGAATGTGTATTTTTAAGAAATAAAAACCAATGAAAAGCTTTGACAGTTGTTAGATCTTGTTGCTTATTCTATGCTTGGTTAAGAATAAGAGAGAGGGGCTGGAGAGGTGGCTCAGAGGTTAAGAGCACTGGCCACTCTTCCAGAGGTCCTGAGTTCAATTCCCACAACCATCTGTAATGAGATCTGGTGCCCTCTTCTGGCCTGCAGGCATACGTGTAGGCAGAACACTATGTAATAAATCTTTAAAAAAAAAAAAGAGCTAAAATAAATCATATTTCTCATCATGGTGGAATGGAAGGGCTTGTCTGTAGTCAGCTTTCCTTTGTGAACAATGTTACCAGGATTTAACGCGTTTTCACTGGAACAAGATGATCACACGTATCATAGTATCAAGATTTTTAAAGATTATGAACTAAAGACAAGTATAAGATTGATAAATTAAGCAATAGCTTTCCAGAACACTAACGTGTGCAAAAGAAACAGCACTCGTGCAAGTCTGACTTCTTGGTCAGAGCAGCCCTGCTCAGAACCTCTGGTCTTCCCCTCACTTCCTGGGAGAATTTCCTGCCCCTCCCAAATTGTGTGCCTGTCAAAAGTCCTTTAAGAATCAATTTTCAAGGGCATACCCTGGCATCTAACGACTGTAGGAAACTTGCAGATATGCAGATGAGAGCCCCTACGAGGACTCCGACTGGACATCACCAGCCTGCTGCTTCCAGCCAACATATGCACGAATGGCCGGTCATCTTCTCTCCGTGTTGGCCGCTAGAAACTCCAGACTGAAATGCAGGGGTCTCCTGAGTGCATATCAGCCTTCCTGGTGTGATCCACACACTGGATTTTACTCCTCCACCCACATACTGACTTGCCTCTGAACCTTCTTTCTTTTTTATTTCTGATTATACTTTCCCTACAAAGACCAAAGTCTCTCTGAACACCACCTCTCTGGAGAACCGGCAAGCTAGAACCAGCCTCGGTATGGCTCAGTAAGTGGAGTCTGGGCAGTGATATCTGGCCTGGCAGCTGGTGTCATAACTCACAGAAATGTCTTCGGATAGAGCTGTGTGAGTTAGGTAGTCTTAGGTGAGGGCTGGCCTGCTCGAAAGAGCAACACTGTGCTTAGGACGGGGCTTGGGCTGGCACTCCGCCACAGAGGTGACGAACACCGTCTACACAACGAGGCCCTGAACTCAACTTTGGAAACTGGTGCTCGTGCGAGCTTTTCTGGTCGGCAGAGTTCCGAGTGCACTGTCAGAAACCCAAGGCAAAGGTAATGAATCTGAGAACAAGGCAAGGCGCAGGGACGGGGCCCCGGCCCTGGTGACAGTGTCTGCTTCGATCTTGACCCTGCACCCCTTTTCTTGCAACGAACAGGAGTCACATGTGTATCAGCTTCCTGGGAGTCTTCCCAGGAGAGTACTGAACGCAGAGGGATCTGGGGCCATCTGAATTTGAGCAGCATCAGGAATGGAGGCGGGCTTGTGAAGAGTGTGGCGTCTCACACCTTGCAGCCTGATTCACTTTGGGTACAGACACCCTCAGGTGAGTCATTTGGTAGCTGTCTGCTCCTGGGTCAGTCACCTTAATTTTCTATGTCTCAATTTCTTCATTTCTGCCTACTTCAAAGAGTTATGATCAAATGAGAACATGAAATGTCAAAATATTCTGAAGAGAAATAGTCACTGATAATTAAACTGATTAACTAATTAAAACCCTGGGAATCTAAAGAGGAACCTGTGTGAGGCCCCTGACCCCCAGCCCCTCTTACCTAGGGGTGACCTGAGTGATGTCAGAGGGATGTAAGATCCTACAGTTGGTGAAGGTGAATGTCGAGTTCGTGCATGACAGACACTTTCCTGGGTTCGAAGTTGCAACTGAAACATAGATTTTTAGAAAGCCAAACACAGAATAGAAAGACTAGGTTAATAACATAAAAGGCTCATCATTATTTTGTTAGCAATACAGCATTTATCAACTGCTTTTTGTAGTAGAAAGTTCCTAAATATGGAAATGAAATATATATAAATAATATACTAGTAGTAACTGATTAGTATATAGCTGAACTTACAGTGCTTTAAAATTATAAATAAAAGGAGTAAAAATAGCTTAGAAATGAGCAAAAACCACTCTGGAAAACACATTATAAAATTGAGATAAAAGAAAAAATTAAGATCTAGTTATCCCGATGCCCAGGTCAAGCTACCGGCCCTGGTTCTTAGAGTACTGTGTGCTGACTCTGGAAAACTTCGTGGTAATTCGAGGATGAGGCCTCTTTATTGATTTATTTTTCTTTTCTGATGGGGCTGACATTTGCAAGCTGGCATAAAAGCAGTGATGGGTAAAAATTCTGGCTCCTCAGCACAAATCGAGACAATGACCCCAGATTATACTTGTATTCTTCATCCTTATATATTCACAGTATTTTTGTTCCAAGCCAGATGTACTGAAGGAGGTGTTTATCATGAAGTCTTGCATCTTTTTACTCTGCAGTATGTGGAAACAGGCTGTGTCCACTAGGCCCCCTGCTGTGTACATGTGTGTATGCAGCCGATACAAACAGCAGTTACCTACAGAAAAGCGTTTGTGCAGCTGAGTTGAAACCGTATTAGGGAACACCATTTACTAACACACAACTATACTTATTCAGACTTGGGAATCTGGCAGGCATTCTCTTGGGGAAAAAAGCTGTCAGTATTCTCTACCAATGACAAACGCAAGATTCAAGTGACTATCAGTTTGGGAACTTACATCCACTGCTAAGAAGCTGAAAACCTAACACAGCCTGTCACACTGAGATTGTCAGCAGTGACATCAATACACCGTCTAACGGGAAGTGTCAACATCTGGGTGTCTGTGTAACTGTCCTAATGACCAACACAGGCCACCAAACCATGCCTGAGCACACGTTTAGAGTGTAGGGCAAACACATTTTAATGAAAACTAATATGAAATTCACTGCTAGGGTTTCAGATTCCACACCGCTGTAACTATTGGAGAAACCACCACTTCCCAAGTCCTTACTGATTTCAAACATCCATAATTCTTGAAAAGACTATTAAAATAATTTTTTCTTCTCTAGCTACATATTCACACGAGGGAGTATTTTCTTCACATTTTTCATCCAAAACAGCATTGCACAGACTAAATGCAGAAAGAAGTTCATAATGAGAATCTTCTGTTAAGTTAGAAATTAGACCTGCAAAATTGTCAGACAAAACCATTTTCTTACTGTGTACAATACAGTGATTTTTCAGAAAACAGTATCTGCAGAGAATATTTATTTATTTTGTTTTTTGAGACAGAGTTTCTCTATGTAGCCCTGGCTATCATGACACTCGCTCTGTAGACCAGGCTGGCCTCAAACTCAGAGATCCACCTGCCTCTGCCTCCCAAGTGCTGGGATTAAAGGTGTGTGCCACCACTGCCCAGCTCAGAATTTTTATTTTTAAATAAGCTATTTTTTCTGGTAAGTTCTCAGTTTTTATTCTAACTTAATTAGTATCAACAGACAAATAGATAAACCTTCTTGAGTTCTCACAGACTTTTAAGAGACCAAAAGGCTTGCAAACCACTAATTGACCTGATCCATCTCTCTTCCTATTTAGTTTTGCAGGCTGGTGGGATAAAATGGAGAAAATTAGAAATGTCAGCAATGCTGCAGACTTTTATTATCTTACTTCCACTGGTGAGTACATGTCAGAGATGGCACGGGGGCAGCCGGACAACCACAGTAGGCCCGTGCAGTGCACTGGTTCTGAGGCCTTGTTCAACAAGCACTCTCCTCACCTGTAACTGGCCCGCCCGCTGAGGTAATGGGTGCCAGGAAGATCCCCGTCACTGGCGTGGGAGCTGCAGGTTTTGGCTCCACTTGAAGAGGCTGCTGAACCTGAAAAGTGATTCCCTCTTCTTCATCCTCCTCTAAATCCGAGATGTGATAGACGACATCCTTGGGCATTTGGGTGAAGCCTTTAGTAATGACGCCTGGTCGTGGGTCAAGAATGGTTCCCAAGTTTGGTTGAGCAAGCTGCTGCCAATGATGCAGAGTCTGTGATCCTGGACGAGCAAGCAGGACAGGCATGCATTACATTTCCCACAGATCCTCAATCTTGAAGAAGGTAGAATTGCATGAGTAATAACAACAATGATAAAGACAACGATACTTACTTGGGTTTGATAAAACCCAATTTTGATAAAATTTGTAAATTTAGCTTCTCTGTAGAAAACTGATATGATATTGAATGTCTGAGCAATAGCTTTTCTATTTCAAAAGACAATCTTCGAAGGGACATCCAAAGAAGAGGAGAAAAACCCACTAAGGCATTTTTAACAGGACCTGAGCTGCTCAGGCAGGAGGGAGGCCCCCACTTTAGGGGTGGGCCGCACTTTCCAGGTGGGGAAAACCAGTGTTCACCTGGCTTAGTCTATGAACTTGGAAGCGAAAACTGGGCACTTAGGTTGGAAAACAGCATGAGTTTCTTTGTGCATTTCTCTACTTGTTCATGACTCTTTTCCCTGGACTCCCAGAAGAACACGAAAAGGTAGGTGATAGGGTGGAGAACACATCCCTTTGGCTCCAGCCTATGGGATGCTGATGAGTGGTCACCCCATGCCCTTGTACCAGATGTAACATCTAATTGTCACTCTGGTAACTTCAACCTAAAATCAGCAACTCTAACCAATACTGGGTCAGACCAGGAGTCCTTACAGGCTGCCTACTCAAACTTTTGTTTAATAAGGAACTTTTCACCACAGTATTAGAGAATCACTCACGGACCATCAATATCCCATAAATCAGATACTTCTTTTGAATTTAACTTGTACTTTAAATAAAACTGAACTGAAGGAGAAAAAAGCACAGGCATACATGTGCGCCTCTGTGTCAGTGACACTCCTTGGGTGGAGTTCTTTGCAGGTGAAAATGAAGCAGTACTCTGGATAATTTTCATTTATCACATCCTGTTGGTGTTACCATGGTAACTGCTATCAATGGTATTCCACAACAACCGTTAGGAAAAGATTCTCCCCACTTCCCTCTTCCACTGATACAGACATGAGAAAAGAAGGAATGCTGATGACCTGGTGACACAGGCCTCACCACTCACTCACTGGCCAGTACACGGCACCACCACACAGTCGGCAGATTTACGGTGACGGACAGCTTGTGCACAAGGTGCTCTCATACCTGCTGCACAGATTTCAATTCTAGGAGAGACGTCTAATGTGTACAGCTGCTAAAGGTTCTCACGGACTTATTACCTTCCAGGGGCTTGACAATCTGTAACTTTTCTGGCATGAAGCCTCGAAGGCAGCCGGCACTGCCGAGGTCCGTGCTCTCCGCCGACTGGTCAGCACAGAACGAGACGAGGTGCCCTGTGGGGGTGTCACAGCTACTGACTTCCTCCTTCTCGGCCAGGACCTGGATCTTCCGTTCCCACTCCTCAGCAAAGAACTGCTTCTCGCTTAGGTAGTTCTGTCTTCGCAGGCTAAGGCGATGCAAAGCCGTAGCCAAGTCGCTGTCTTCAGTGGGTCCTGGGTGGCTTGTGGGCTGAGAGCTCCTGTGGGAAAATCATAGTCGCTGACGAGATTGTGGTTGTGTGCACAACCTAGACCTCTCCTTTCTACAGCGCTGGCCATTCAAAGACTGACCTCAGGAATGAGGTGTCTAAGCTATTTGAAATACAGAAAACAACAACAAACAAAACCATCAACAATACTATACATCACTGTGATACATCATTTCCAATTCCTTCTAGAAAGTCAAAAATATATTGTGTTTGCTAACTTTTCCATTTCATTTAATTGTGAAGCTGCAGGTATGTCTACCTTTATGTTCAGGCCAGACAGTCACAAAGCAAGTATTATTACAGTTCACAGAAGTGCTCAGTGCACTGAGCACAAGAGGTATCACCACTGTTTACAACTGTGACTGAAGAGAAGAGCTAGCCACCAACTATTACATGCTATTGATCACAAAATGTAGTTACTTAAAAAACTGTGAGTAGGGTGTGGGGGGGCATGCCAGTAATTCTAGCACTCAGGAGACTGAGGCAGGAGAATCATGGTTTTGATAGCAGTCTGGGCTGCACCAAAAGTTCAGGGCAGCCTGGCTACACAGGAAAACACCCTACCTAAAAACAAACAAACAATAACAACAGACAAAAAAAGGAAAAAGTAACTGGTGCTGAAAAAGGTGTGAAAAAACTTACTTTGGGTCACAAGCATTCCCCAAATATGCAGACTATTTAAAAGAAATCAAGGATTAAAAATGACAAGGTGCTAAATCTTCATGCGTCTCTGAGGCATTTTCTTCACTTTCCAGCATTCTGAAGCTGGGGTCGTTTAGAATGGATGCAGAAATAACAGTCAGAGCGGCTGCCAGGAACTGTGGGTGGACCGAGCGTGTGCTCGGCTACGCCAACACCATGAGCAATGCAGACCCACAGCCAGGAGCCATGCCTTACCCTGGAACCTCTGTGCAGCTCCCGTGGTTCAGGAGTGTTTTGTCCTCTGTTTGCTGGACACCGGACTCAAAGGGTTTGGCTGTCATGATGACACTTGAACGGTTGGAGCCTGGGATGGGTAGCAGGGCCGGGAAGGTGACAGAGCGGCCCCGAGCGTCATTGGCAACCTTGACGGTATCAAACACCCGTTTCTGCTGGGCCCTGTCAAAAGAAGCATTCACTCCTGCTACTGTCACCCACTAGGGGGCACCCACGAGACTTGTGCGTGCACAGACAGAACCAGAAACAAAGCCACCCGGAATACTCCCAAATCTGGGAGAAATGAGAAAATCAGCTTTGGTACAGGAAAAGCTCCCCCAATGAGAAGACAATCTGCACAGTAGATTCTCTCCTGACTGGCATTCATGACTTTGTATTGTGTTTCTTCCCTTGGTGCCCAGGGATCAAACCGAGGACCTCGCTCTGCCTCGCAAGCCTCCCACCACGGCAATCCCAGCCTGCGGCTTCTTTTGAATTTCCACTCCAGTGGTGTGGTAACAGCCCTTGTGACCTGTACTTACTTTTGTTTAAACACAGACTCCTCATCCAAACTCAGCTTTTTACGCATGGTCCCTTCAATCTCAGCTGCCAACGATTCCTAAGGAAAGGAGTTCAAGATTTGTCAAGTGATTGCTACCCTCAAGTGAATTAAAAGAGTCTATATAAGAGTGTATTTTTTATGTTATAGGAAAAGGAAATGCAGACTAAAGTTCAAAGGGGGTAGTGAGACTGAAAATAAAGACTCTTAAACAAGACCCAGCCATCTCTCCATGAAGCACTGTTCTAAGGCAGCAATGGACAAGACCAGTAGATGAAAAGCCAGCATCATGTACGGAGACACAAACACAGAAGTCTGACAGGCTGCAGACCAAGGCGAATCCGTAAAAATGTTCTGCTTGCTTCCTTGTAACTTCTACACACTTACACGCTTTGATAATTTGATTCAGCTAGCACGGTTATCACACTTGGTGGGGTTGGACTGAGGGTGACTGGTTCTGAAGGGACTGAGAACCTGATTTTTAACACCCACAGATATGCAGATGGAAGGATGTGAAATCATACATCTCCTGACCTGACCACCTGAGTGAGTCCTGAGCCGTGATAGCTGAGTGGCAATGGGTACATCTGGCACCCAGGTCTGTTGCAGAATATTTGTTTACACTGTGAAGATGTGTCACTGTGATTGGTTTAATAAAGAGCTAAATGGCCAATAGCTAGGCAGAGGAGAATAGGCGGAACTTCTGGGCAAAGAGAGGAACTCTGGATGAATTTCGACATGAGAGATACCAGCTAGACACTGAAGAGGTCAGACATACGGTACAGAGCAGAGGGAACCGAGCCACGTGGCAGATTAACAGAGCCAGGTTAATTTAAGTTATAAAGCTAGTTGTGGACAAGCCCAAGCTAAGGCCAAGCCTTCATAATTAAAAATAAGTCTCTGTGTCATTATTTGGGGGCTGGCGGTCAAGGAAGTCCAACAAGAAAGCTTGCTACACGGGTCTTGGACTCAGAATGTCTTTTCTCAAAGTTACCAGAGCTCCTTGGAGAAATGGCTGATTCCTGGGCTGGGACAGAAAGTACAAAAAAAGTACAGTTTGCATGAAGGAGACCCTGCTGGCCTTACCTGGGACAACTTGAGTATCAAAGGATGGGATTAGAAAACTGTGACCCGGTAGTTGTGATGGTTGGCTTTAATTGTCAACTTGACATCGTCTAGAACCAGCTGTGGAAAGTCTCAATGAGTGACTGATCACACGGTCGGGCTGTGAGTATGTCTGTGGGGGTACTGTCGTAATTACACTAACTGAAGAAGTCCCAGCCCACTGTGGGCAGCACCATTCCCAAGGCAGGGGGTTTTGAACTGTTTAAAAGTGGAGGAATTGAGCACAAGCAAGCGAGCGTACATCCTTCACTGTCCTCTGCTCTACTGAGGATGTGATACGAGCAGCTGACGTAGGTTCCTGCTGCCTGGCCTTTCCCAACAGACTGCAAACCTAGAACTGTGAGACAAAACAAACTCTTTTTCCCCAAAGCTGCTTTTTTTCAGAGCATTGTATCACAGCAATGAAAATGAAATAAGACCAGTATTCATCCCAGAAATGACCAAAGAACCCGGATGGCGTTAAAAGCAATGGCTGAAAGTCTGATGAAGACATTCACCCTTCATCACTCGGTTAATGCAGTGTCTGCTAGCTTTCATTTGTGTGTAGTAAATTAGTAGTGCTAATTTAATTACTTCATTATTAACTTTCAAGGGTAAAAAACTAGCAGATAATACTAACCAAAAATTTATAATTAACAATAGGATGAATGTACCTCCTGAAATAACACAGCATTATATGACACTGAAATAACTACATACAAAGGTATCCCGTTTTTCTTAATTTGTATGTATGTATGTATGTATATCCGTGTGTGTGTGTGTGTGTGTGTGTGTGTGTGTGTGTGTGTGTGTGTGAGTGTATGTGAAGGCCAGAAGACAACTCTGTGGTGTTGGTTCTCTCTTTCCACTTTGATGTGGGTTCCGGGGATTGAACTCAAGTCTCCAGGTTTGCGTGGCAAAGACCTTCTACCCACTGAGCCACCTTGCTCCCCCAAACATATCCTTCAAAGGATATTTTTGGAGCTGGGTGCCGTGGCCTGCATATGCAATTTCAAGCAGTCAAGGCTGAGGCAAGAGACCACTTGAGCGAGGTGGAAGTTAGCCTGGCTATGGTAGAGAGACGCCTTCAAACTGAATGTCGGAATAAATAAGTGAGCAAATAAACACACAAACCAGAGTTTACAAGTAACAGAATAACAGGCATTGTTGGGAGGGTTGGGAAAACTTGAGTGGGCTCTGGATGAGGCGACAATGTACTGAGTCACCTTCATGATAACAGGCAGCTCTGCTGCCATTACCAGGCATGCCTTGCTCTACTAAACACTGTCCCTGTCTTTAAACAGAAACTTAAGCGCTAAGTAGTCAAAGGGATCTCTGACACTTGCTATCAAACAGTTCAGGAAAAACAACAACAAAAACCAACCAACCAACCACCCAACGAACAAAAAAACCACCGAGGGAGGAAACAGCAAATATATTAATTATTCATGTGAAGAATATACAAAAATTTCTTGTACCACTTTTTGGAATTTTATTCTAAGTTTTAAATTATTTTAAAATCACAAATTAAAAAAACAAAATGCTGGGGATGTAAGTGGCAGAGCTCTCCCCTAGCATGTATGAGGCCCTGAGTTCAATTCCCTACATTGCTGAATAAATAAATGTTAAAAAAAAAAAAAACCCAAACAATGTGGTGTAGTGGGTAAAGGTGTAAACTGCCGAGGCTGATGACCCCAGGTCAATCCACAGGGCCCACCCACCTGGTGGAAGGTAAGGACCCCGACCCTAGAGAGTTGTCCCCTGATTTCCATCAGCTAGGAAAGGAAAGGAAGTGGGAGACAGGAAAAGACAACTACTGAAGAGAAGCATAAGAATGGGGTCAGGAGGGTAACCAGGGAAGGAAGAAAGCAATTGTTAATAGATATTCACACACACACACACACACACACACACACACACACACACACACACACGCTCTAAAATAAATGTAAAAACACCCAACAGTCAGTCTGGCTAGCCTGTGCTATATAGCAAGTTGGAGGCTAGCCTGTGCTAAACAGTGACCGTCTCAAAAGTTCAGAGTCGTGTATGGTTTCTATAAGAACCAGGTGTTAAAATAGCTCTTTGAAGCAATGTAATAAATTCCGGCATAAACTCAACTTCTAATTGAGTTCTCCCATTCCCCCAATACTGTCTATTAATGAATTAAAAAATTAGGGTTTCTATCTGCAAGAGACTTATATTCTAGGTAGAGTTAAACCTACCAAGAACTTAAGACTTCTCGACAGAGGTTCAGATGTTCGAAGCAAGCGTAGGGCGGACAAGAGCCCTGGAACTCACAGGGCAGAGAGGGAACCAACTCTAGAGAGTGGTCTTAGTCGAGTTTCTATGCCTGTGACAAATCATCATGACCAAAAGCAACCTGGGGCGGCAAGGGCTGATTCACCGTAAGATCGGAAGTCAGGCACCCACGGAAGTCAGGCAGGGATCGGGAAGTGGGAGCTGGTGCAGAGGTCATGGTGGCATGTTCCACCCGCTTTCTTCAGGGTTACCAGCCCAGGGGTGGCAGCACCAGGGCACCTGCACATCCATCACTAATTAAGAAAATTCCCGCCGGACTGGAGAGATAGCTCAGAGGTTAAGAACACTGGCTGTTCTTCCAGAGGTCCTGAGTTCAATTCCCAGCACCCATATGGTGGCTCACAACCATCTGTAATGAGATCTGGCGCCCTCTTCTGGCGTGCAGGGATACATGCAAACAGAACACTGTATATGTAATAAATAAATAAATATTTAAAAAAAAAAAAAATTCCCGCCGGGCGTTGGTGGCGCACGCCTTTAATCCCAGCACTCGGGAGGCAGAGGCAGGTGGATCTCTGTGAGTTCGAGGCCAGCCTGGTCTCCAAAGCGAGTACCAGGAAAGGCGCAAAGCTACACAGAGAAACCCTGTCTTGAAAAACCAAAAAATAAAAAAAAAAAAGAAAATTCCCCCCAGGCTTGCCCACAGGCCTATCTTGTGGGGGCATTTTCCCAATTGAGTCTCTCTTCGCAAATGACCCCCGCCTGTGTCAAGTCGACAAGACACCAGCCGGCACTAACACTGTCTTCTGACCTCCACGTGTGCACACGACACGTGAACAGGCACACACATGTACACACACTAATGGGAAAAGGAAATCTTAAGTGTGTGGCCAGGAGATGGCTCTGCGGGCAAAGGCTTGCTTCCAAGTCTGCTGACCGAGTTGAATCCTGGGCCCCACATCCTGGAGGCAGGAAAGAACCACCTTCCACAAGGTGTTCTCTGACCTCCACACCTATGCTGTGCTCATGCGTACCGAACACACACAGAGCAGGCAGACATAAAAACTCCAAAGCATGGCTTAAGTGAGTGATAGGCGGTGGGTCTAAGGTAGGAGATAACCTCATGTGAGTGAGCTGTGGTACACAGATCAAAACCCAGTGTCCGTAGCGTTTATCTCACAAACCGCAGCAAGTGTAGACTATCATCTGTGAAAATAAGAGTGATAAGGAAAGTGTGGACATGCAAATTAAAGAGTGATAAGGAAGGTGTGGATATGCAAATTAAATCCTGACTAGTGACTGTGTCCCAGGAACAAGAGCGAAGCGTGTTCTCTCTTTTCTAGATCCTCATGGCATCATAATCCACACACCCTCTGGAAACAGTGCAAGCCTCTCCTCTTCTCTTTCTTTTAGCACATGGCAGCTTTCTCGGCTCTTACCCCTGTGAGAATGCCGTAGGACTGGGAGAAGCAGAGGTGAGCCGAAGGGCCGCATTTGCTCCGCAACTCTTTGATTTCTTCTTGGGACTCGTGCAGCATCCCCAGGCACTCCATGTTTCTGTCTTGTAAGTCATGGAGCTGAAGGAGGAAGGCAGCACACTGAGAGTCGCCCCAGACAACCCCGTTAACCGCCAACCCCCGGATAAGGACTCCTGAGGGGGTGTTAATTTGATCTGGGGCCCAGCAGACTGCATAAATATCATTCCAACAAGGCAACCCCGAGCAAACGCAGCCAAGAGCATATCCACGTGAAGCTGCCGGGAGCTGAGACTCTTGGGCAAGTGCTGTAAAACAAGACTTCTCAAAACCTGAAATGCGGCGGGGACAACCAGACTGTCGATTCAGCAGCTGATGGCCCGTCCCAAAATACCATGGAGGAAACGGAAAAGTGCTACCTCGTCAGGGTTTGCGTAACGGTACATCTTCTCATGAACATCACCGTGAAGTCTTTCAGGGACAAGATCAAGAGTCTAGAAAGTGACTCATGTAATGTCAGGGTGTCCCCTCACCCTAAGGAAGGTCCCCTGCCTTTATAGCAGCTGGCAAAAGAACACATTTCAGAGTGTATTTTAACTGGGTCAGCAGGGCTGGGGATGCGCATCTACAATGTGTATTACCCTGCCTCTCATTTTGAGACTTGGCAGAGGCTGTCTGTCCTCTTTTTTTTTCTTTTCCATGTGCTGCAGAGCCATCCAGAATGAGGAAGACCAGGAAACGTCCGGGATGTGTGACCCACCCAGTCCATGAGGGAAATGCTACCCGAAGCAAATCTGGAGCTGCCCTCGTCATCAGGGTGGTGTGAAGCTTGGCGTGGGGAAGCTCCCTAAGCAGCAGGTCTTGGTGAAAGCTAAGTGCCTCAGCAGAAGGGCTGAGGAGATTCAGGTGTTGATGGCCGCTCTGTCCACACAGGGAGTTCATTAAATGCCAACAAATACTAAAATAGAATGGGCAGCTGAGGCGGTGGGGGCACTGGGGAGGCCACGGTAGGAGGATCTCAAGTTTGAGGATAGCCTGTGCTACACAGAGAGTTCCATGCTAGCCTTAGGCCACATAGAAAACTCTGTCTCAAAGTTCAAAAGATAAGTACACCAAAATAAGGATGGCCATGTGGCTCTCATGTGATCAACTGAGTAGAAACTCAGGGCGGTATCTAGAATCTATTTAAAACTTGCTGTTCCCAGTGAGTCTTATGAATGCTGAACTGTCACGAAGTTAAATCTGGCATGTAAGTACTTAGAAAGGCCGTAAGAGATTTTTGCTTTATTTCTTAGACCTCATTAATTTCATCTCAACTATTTCTTGTTGCTGCTGTATTCCAAATGTGGCAGTTCTCTTCTGTAATTCTTACAATTATGAATGAAATCCCTATTCCCCTCCTGCACTTGGAAGAGGAGAAAGACCTCATTACCTCCATCGTCAGCTGCCGCTGGGCGTCTTTGGAAGCCTGCAGGTGAAGCCTCAGTTCTTCCTTCTCGATGACATGCTAACAACACAGAAGAGGGACACGTGAGACATTCCCACAGGGAACGTAACTACTTCTTCCTGTCTAAGACATACTGAGAGTGTCTGTCTGGAGTACAGTCTAAGGCCTATGACAGTGATCCCACCAGAAGCCGACTAAGAGTAATAATGTAAGCAGAACACAAACTACGTGTGTTCAGAGGATATGGACCACGAATTCCTCACTGACATCACAACCTTCTCAAGAAAATCTGAGATACCTGCAAAACTACATAGTACCTCAGAAGTTATTTATGATATTTTAGCAGAGGAGCAATATTAAAAGAACAAAGTAAACCACTGAAAAGGGGGGGAGCCAGGTCTACTCTGCTTGGTGTGACAGCACTTAGCAGAATGCAGTGCACCAGGAGGGTGCTCAGCCGAGCCCAGCTGGTGAGTGAATGCACACACTTCTTTAAGCTTGTGCTGAAGATCTACAATCTGAGAGAGCAGGGAAGAGATCTCCTCCTGGTAGCGAATCAGCTCATCACTCTTCCCCGACAGTTCTTGCGTCATTCTGGACATCTGCGCGTTGGTTTCACCTAGGAGCAAAGGCAAGGTTTAGAAACCAACGCCAAGGTGGAGCTGGAATCAGTGTGAGGCAGCTTGCAGGTCAGATGCTGACTGACGACGGCAAGCACTGGATCCATGAACGAATCTGTTGACGTAACTTAGAAAAACAAAGATTCTCTGCGGTAAGCTAGTGCTGGGAACTGGAGACGATGCCGCTAAGGAGAGCGCCGGTCTAAAGTGGCAAACATGCTAACGAGCTGATCTTCATGAAAAAGGTATTTCTGTCAATCTTCATGAAAGGCTGAGGAGAGCGCTAGGTGGATTATGTGTCTTCCCAAGTGCTAAGAGGGGATTCCACGCGTGCCATTAAGAACACTTCAGGGACATAAATAAAATCCCACAAGCCATGAAAGTCAACCTTAACAGGTCTAACAGAGACTTATCAGAGTGGAGCCACCCCATCTCCATCAGAATGTGCCGATGCTACTGTGAAGCTTCAGACACAGACGGTCAGGGACACCCATCAGCCCGAGTGAGGCCTAGGTTGACCCTTACAGCCCAGAGCATTTATATACATGAAACAGAACCCTTAGAACTGGATTCATGGACTCTTTACATCATAGAGTAAATGTGACATCTGGATACAGCAGAAAAACTACCTTTCACTTTTCAAATTGACAAGACAGCTTCCTACTGTCAGAGGGTAGCAGCTAAGAATGGAAGGGACAAGAGTGTGGACTATTCCTTTACACTGTGTGAATATACGTCAGTGTGACTGGTTTAATAAAAAAGCTAAATGGCCAGTAGCTAGGCAGGATTTTGGGGGCAGAGAGAATGCTAGGAAGAAGGATGAAGTCTCAGGAATCAGGAGGAGACACCATGAGACACAGAGCAAACAGGACAGGCAGTATGGAGATGAGGTAAACGAGACTTGGGGCAGCACACAGATTAATAGAAATGGGTTAATTTAAGTTATAAGAGCTAGTTAAAAACAAATCTAAGCTATCAGCCGAGCACTTAAAATTAATAATAAGTCTCTGTGTGGTTATCTGGGAGTGGCTGGCAGGACAGAGCTGATTGGTGGTCCCAACGAAAAACTCTGTCTACAAATGGCCTTCCAACGTGGGGCACCTACATCCACATAGGACTTGAGAAAACTTAAAAAAGGTTCTAAACACACAACAATAGAGCCAAACACTGCTTCCTAGTCTCATGTCTCTCGTGCCAGCTACAGCTGCCTGCAGGATGGAGCCAGCCGCCAACTGCCATGTGCTAGCACCATTCACTAAGCTGAGCAGTTCCAGCAGCTGACATCACAATTTAAGATTCGTCTCATGTGATCAAAAAAAAAAAAAAAAAAATACAGATGCTCAGGAAAGACAGATCCAGACAGGAAAAAAAAAAACAAAACAAAAAAAAAAACAACTCTAAATGGATTATAGTGTGTTTAAAAATACAAATAGGCTTAGGAAAGAAAAGAAAAAGGCATAGATTAAAACATAGTTAAAAATAATAAAGTCCTTAAAAAGGGAATAAAGTAATAAAAAAAAAACCCAATAACCCACACAAAGATGGGAAATACACAGAGAATCTGGATCCTGTATGTTATTGTGTTATCTTTAAATTTTTTGGCTACAAAGAGACATTGGATTATGAAAGCTGCTAGATTAAACCAACCTATATATTTTAAAAATATCTTGACTTCAAAATGGAAGTCAAAAGAAGATGTGTTGCTTTGGAGGAGAGGTTATGCTTTTATTTCCACAAGAAATGAAGCCGGGCGGTGGTGGCGCACGCCTTTAATCCCAGCACTCGGGAGGCAGAGGCAGGCGGATCTCTGTGAGTTCGAGGCCAGCCTGGGCTACCAAGTGAGTTCCAGGAGAGGCGCAAAGCTACAAACATGAAACAAAAAAAATCTCTTTGGCTAACTTGTGTACAACACACATCGTCAATACTTGTATTAATAAAGATATGTATGCTACCTTCAAAAGTTTATGTATTTTCAGAACAAGGGACCAGATACCAATAAAGATGATCCAGCCTCACAAAATATTCCAGCCAGTACTTAACAATTATTTTCTCAAGTTTCCCCCAACGATTCCAGCATCCTCAGACAACAGGAAGCAGTCTATACAAAACAATGCCTACATTCCCAAAAGATAGATTATGAATGTTTATTAACATTAAGGGGGGTTGGTTACAAGTTGTTATCAATCATAGTTAGAAAGAAAGCTAAACAGAAGAGTTAAATTCAAAAATCTCTTTCTAAAGGAAAAAGGGGGATATAATATAGAAATGATGAGATAAAAGAGTAGATTACTGATTCTAATTCAAAAAACAACTATTAATTTCAAAATATTTTACATTGGTATGGATTATGGTTTATTGATACAAATTTAAAGTTAATTTTGCTATACTATATGTATGTTTCTACTCTTGTTTGGGGTAGTGTGCTTATGCAATTCATTAAAAAATGTAAAGTATAATTAAAAAATATAGATTAATAGTTAGTTATCTATAATCATCAAACTTACTAGCTTTCTGATTTTAATGTAATGTATTCCTACAAACAAAATGAGAGCTTTGTTCTCTTTTTCCCTAGGAAGGTACGGGTTATTTATAGACAGTCAGTCTTCACTTAGTGATGGGGGCAGCCTGAGCAGATAAAGGTCTTAAAAACACACGTGTCTTAATTAGGTTGTGGGCACAGTGTGATAGTCTGATTTTCAGTAACTGTTATGGTTTGATCCCCTAAGTCTGTGTGGCAGCTTGGTATCTGGTGGAGCATGGTGTCTAGTGGTGGCGCTGAGGTGATTGACAGGCGGAGCTGAGCAGGAGGAACCTGGGTCACTGGGTACCGCCTTTGGAAAGGATCAACGCTGGTCTCTCTGAGGGAGCTCGTTCCATAAACAGCAAGCTGTTGTAAGCAAGACATCTCATGTGTTTGGCTCCTTCTGCATATGACCAATTCCATTTCTGTATCTCCATCATGTTCAAACAGTCAGGGGACCTCACCAGGCTTCAGTGCTTGGACTCTCCAGTCGCAGAACTATGAGCCAGATAAACTGCTTTACTTGTAAGTAACCCAGCACAGAGATTTTGTTACAGTGACGTAAAAGCAGAGCAAGACAGAACCATTTAAAACTGTTTCCACGGAAACCAGAGGTCTAAATTCTGAGGTGGAGACATCTCACCAAACTGCCCCAAAGCAGGATGAACACGTTACTACTTACGAAGTTCTTTAACACAGTCATTGACCAGCTGTTGTTCCTTTTCCTCATAGGTGAAAGTTTCTGTCTTGATATGACAAGCCTTCAAGGGGAAAAACAACAACCACCGATGTGACAATCTGTCCTAATGAGTTTGAAGCAAAAGCTACAGAAAGCTTTACCATCTGAAGATTAAAGTTCATTACCATCAGGTTTAAACTCTCACAAAATATAGGAACAGAAAAGGTCGTCTCCCTCCACTCCTGCAGGGCCTTTGCACACACCTGCTCATGCATCTCTGTCTTGTTTGATGCATCTCTAGCCTCAGCTAAAACGCCACCTGCTTATGTAGGATGTGCTTGCTTCACGGCACTTCACAAACCCAAAGAAATTTCTAACGTTCTGACATACCCTTCTTAGCTAGCTTCTGTCAACTACACAAGATGTACACACTGTGCGGCTGCCATTTTATCTGTCCACCTACTCCGACCCATTTCTCAGCAAGCCCAAGGTGACAGTGGAGGGCTCGGCAGTAACTGGAATGCTCAGATGTATTTCATCTCAGCATCACCCAGACCTGACCTATAGTGTGCAGGTAAAGGAGAGCGAGATGCACCTTGGATCGAAGGGCCATGTTCTCTTCTTCCAGTTCCCTGAGCTTCTCATGCAGCATGTCCAGTTGCAGCAAGCCTTGTGATAAGCTGAAGGACTCGTTGAACCGAAGAGGCGTGGAGCAGCTAGAATCTGTTTCACTCTCCTCAGAAGCAATGGAAACGATCCGAAGCAGTTCATCTTTCTTGGATAGCTCATGTTGCAGCTGATTAACCTGTACACAAAGTGTGATTAGAACATTCTACACTGTTCACGTGCAATGGAGCTTTTAATTCACGGAATAACTGCAAAAGCACCATATGACTGAAAACACCACAGAAGTCCCCCACTACATCAACTGCTAGACAAGTGTGGAAAGAGAGTAGTAACCACTACATACTTCCTACGCTACCCATTTAGGCCATTAACTCAACAAATGCAGCTTTTTCTAGAGCACATATTAAGAAAGCCAGTTTTCATACTCGGTAGAACAGTAATGTAAGAATCTTCAAACTTACAGCACACCCTACTTTAAAGCCTATCCCCATGGCCTGTACTTTTGGCCAACTAACTGGGGAGAATGGCGAGCCTTATACATGCTAGACATTAAGTGCTCAACCACTGAGCTATATCTGCAGGCCCCTGTTTTTCAAATTTACTTTATTTCATAGTTTAACTTCTGAGATACAGTTTCTTGATAACGCTTCCAGGCTGGCCTTGAACTTGCAGTATTTCTGTCTCAGCCCCCAGAATAGCTATGATTACAAGCCTGTGCCATCAAGCTGGGTGGTATCTTGTGTTTTTAAGCTGTCTCTAACTATGCAAATTTTCCCATTATGGATGACCACATTTCTAGGAAATAAATATTTTCAACATAAAGAACCAAATGCATTCATAAAATGTAATCAAAATTAGCTAAAAAAAATTATTCCTGGGCATGGTAGTGCATGCCTTTAATACCAGCACTGGGGAGGCAGAGGCATGTAAATGTCTATGAGTTCAAGGCCAGCCTAATCCATACAGAAAACTCCAGGCCAGTCAGAGCTACATGGTAAGACTTTGTCCTTTAAAAAAAATTATAAGAAACTTGACATTTATCTATTTAACATGACAATAAATTACTTATTACATTTATTGATACAGAGTAAATATATTTTTTAATTTACATGTTTTTTAACCCTTTTTTTTGTTTTCTGAGTAAGAAGCATTTGGGTATTTTAACACCATGTCTGTCAAATAAAAAGCCCACTACCTCTTTTGGAGCTGTTGCTCAATGGGGTATCACAGACCCTCAAAGATGACAGGCTGTGGCCACTGCTCCTGAGCACTCCAGAACTCCATGGTGGGACCCTATTGCTTGAAGATGCTCTACATACTGGAGTCACTGAGCGTGGAGAAATCACGTTGGGACTCACCTGGAAGGTCCACCCCTATGGCTAGTTTTCACAGCGCTGTCAGGTGCTACACACGCTGCCGTGGCACCAAAGTGTCATCCTTGCACACAGCTGAGAACCTACAACAGCAACCAGCCTGGCAAGCCACGCCCACTGGTACAACAGCGGCACAAATATCATGGGAGCAACCGACCACTTTCTGGTTGGATTTAAAACTTGCTCCACAAGACGGAACGCACACGTGACAGCATTAATTTAGAGTCAAGATCCCATGGTCTGGTAGGTCATAGGCCCTAGGGGAAGACCTACTAACATTACTCTGCTAAACAGACACAGTACTAGACTAACTCCTAATGACTTTTTCACCAGAAAAGTTTCATTTTGCAGTATATGGAAATCTATAAAGTCAATAGGTACCGATGTCATTTACCTATTGTCAATATTTCAGGAATATCCACGGAAATAATTCATGCACCAAATAGGACGGAATTATTATTATTCTCACTCCAAACACAAGGGCAAAGGCTTACTTGATCAAAGGCTTGTCCCAGCTGCTCCTCCAGGGCTTCATTCTGCTCAGATAAGACATGGTTCCGCTTCAGGAGAGCCTGCCCAATCCGAGCAGCTAGCTCTAGATCTCGATCCCTCTGTAAAGCAACAAATACACCATTTGAGCATTAAAAAAAAAAGCAGATAGCAGATTAGAAATTCTGCAGTGAATTTTGCTAATGTTAAAAGCAAATCTCTTATAAAGCACAGAGATTCATTTTACGACCCTAATAAATAAATGGACATGGGGCCAGGCACACAGGTAGGGCTTAGTAAATCTTAGCCGAATGGGTGACTATGTAGTTATGAACGCAAGCGGTCACCTCTTGAAATCAAGTAAGGTTTTACTGACATCCTAGTCTTCATGGCCTATCAATCCAACTTTGTACTTAAAACCTTAAGAAGCTAGAAAATCAACGTAAGCTTTACATATGAGGGTGGGGACTGTGGATGTAGCTAAACAGGAAGAGTGAGCTTTTAGTGCTTGGGCCTTGTGTCAATATCCAGTGCACCTCCCCCGCCCCCCAAATAAAAATTTCAAGTGGATAGAACCTGGGCAGTAAAGCCCAGCCAACACTTGTTGAGTCTATCAAGTACGGCGATGACACAGGCTAGGTATTTATGATATGGATCAGGACAGGGATCAGGTAAGAATGCTGGAACAGTTCCATTTACGGTAGAGGAAGGCACGGCCTAGAGCCCAGTTCACAACTAGTGCGAGAAGGAAGGGTTAGAGACTGGAAATTACCAGGTCACAGGACTCAACCTCCAGCGTGGAGAAGGGTAGTCTAAGCTGGTGGTAATGAGTAGGGTGTGTGGCAAAGCCAAGCAACAGGCATTCTTTCTGGGCAGATGGTGATACTGAGCAAGGGTATGGGGAACCCATGCAGTGAGAATAAGGGCCTTATTTGTAGAATGGAAAACTGTTAATATACTTTTAGTTGTCACATATGTGAACATGGGCTCTGTTTACATTAATCATTAGATGAATAAAACTAAGCATCTAATTTTTCTTCATCTAATACATGAAAACTGATCATTTCAGGGCAACTTATCTCACTTTAATATAAGCCAAGTGGCATGTATGGAAAGCATTCTAAGGATAGACATGTATGTCAGAGAGGAAGTCTTCCATAGATCAACTCAAACTGAGCTACGAGAGAGAATATTACTGCAGGCCAGCTGGAAAAGATCCACCATGCATGTTAAAACTTCCACACGGGGCTGGAGAAATGCCCAGGGGGGAAGAGCACTGGCTGTTCTTGCAGAGGACCCAGGTTTGGTTCCCAGCACCCATGTGGTGGCTCACAACCATCTACAACTCCAGTTCCAGAAAATATGATGCCCTCTTCTGACCTCTGCAGGTACTGCACACACACACACACACACACACACACACACACACACACACACACACACACACACACAATCAGGCAAAACCCCCATACACATTAAACAAACAAACAAACAACCCTTAAAACCCCCACAGGCAGATGTAAGCTCAAACAAGGGCCTGCGCTGGAAGTACGCAGGAGACACTCGGAACTGCAGGCGTTAACTGAACTACAGCGCTTTCTCCACAGGCAGCCTGGCCTAGGTGATTAACAGCTGAGTGACTTTTGGGGGCTGGAAATATGACTCAGCCATTAAGGGTTTGCACTGCCCTTGCAGAGGGTCCAAATCCCAGTTCCAAGCACTCACATTAGGCAGCTCACACCACTTACAACTCCAGGTCCCATGGATCCAGTGCCTTCTGAGCTCTGAGGGCATTGCACTCAAGAGCAACCCCCCCATAATTAAAAATAAAAATCTAGTCTTTTAGCTGGGCGGTGGTGGTGCACACCTTTAATCCCAGCACTCGGGAGGCAGAGCCAGGCGGATCTCTGTGAGTTCGAGGCCAGCCTGGTCTACTGAGTGAGATCCAGGAAAGGCGCAAAGCTACACAGAGAAACCCTGTCTCAAAAAACAACAAAAAACAAACAAACAAACAAAAAAATGAAGTCTTTTTAAACAATTGCTTTATCTTAGGACAAGGAGGTGAGACAGCATTATATCTGCCCATCCACACACATCAAAATAATGAGCTTCAGGAGCCATTCTACTTTGGAATGTCACTATATGTCACTTGTTCAGCTCTAACAGTCTTACAGAAAACAACCAGCTTGATCATCACACTTTATCTGTGCAAACAGATACATTCTAAATTCTAAATTCTAAACAGATACATTCAAATTTCAGGTTTTTATACTGGAGAAAGAAGCGGTCTATTCATACCTCTGCCAGGAGATGCGTAACCATGTCAATGTCATTATAGGTTTTGGTCATCTGTTCCACTCTGTCTGTGCCTAGAACTAAGGCAGTTAAAAACAACTCTTAGAGGTTTTAAGCACATCAGAAAACTTAAAATACTCATAAAAATCCTAAGTATCAACAAAATCCCCAAGTTTTTACAGAAGTCATTCAGGAGAATAAAAATACATACGAAAACAGAAAGAGAACAAGGGTTCATAGTATACAACACCCAAGATAATTATTACAAAATTATTGCCAATTATTAAAAAAAATGCACATATGCAATAAGTTGAGTATCAAGTGGTCACAGGTCAATCAAGTCCCAACCATTTCTTCTCCTCCTAGGGAGGTAAGTTCGGGCCACTCACATTGGAAGGTGTGAGCTGGAAGCATGGATTAAGTTACCTACTCTATACTCAAATCAATTAAAGTTACTGAAGAATAGCCACGCAGTTGTGGTGCACGCCTTTAATCCCAGCACTTGGGAGGCAAAGGCAGGTGGATCTCTGTGAGTTCAAGGCCAGGCTGGTCTACAGAGTGAGTTCCGGGCCAGCCAAGGCTGTACAAAAAAGCCTTGTCTGGAAAGGTACTGAAGAATTATGCTGCTATCACAGAATTGAGTTACAAAGTCCTCATAAATTTAGAACTCAAGAAACAAAGAGAAATGGTAATATGAAATAGTTTTCCAGAAAAATATCAACAATCAGTAAGAGCAACACTAATGAACTCAGTATGGTGTATACACACAGTTGGATATATGTGCATAGAAAAGTAACAATAATAATTACAGAATAAGAGGCCATGAACTTGAGGGGGTACAGGAGTTGGAGGGGGCTAGAAGGAGGCATGGAAATGTAAATCATCACTCATGTGACAGTCTTTAAAAAATTAGTATTTTTTAATAAACAGAATCTTGAGAGCCTTAATTTAAGGCTATTTAAACTATTAAGGGCAGAAATACATCTTTATTTGATCTTGATATTTCAATTCAAGTTTAATCAATATTTACACCCCAACACTCACTCCCCCTCTCTTGTACACACACACACACACACACACACACACACACACACACACACACACACACACAGTTCTAAGAAACTGCCTGGTTCTAGGAAACTCCCATCCAGAGCAGGTTAATAATTACGATGAAATGAGCATTCAAAGCCTGCCATCATTCTCTAACACAGTCTGTCATTAATAGACAGGAACGCATGACGGCTTAGCTGGTTAAGGCACTTGTCGCCATGCCTGATGACCTGAGTTTGAACCCTGGAACCCACTTGCTGAAAGGAGAGGACTGATTCCCACAAGTTGTCCTCTGACCTCCACACGTATATTATAGTACAAGTGCCCCTCCGTACTATAAATAAGTAAATGTAATAATAAAAAAAAAACACACCTAAGTGCCCACTGGGAAAATGTGTAAGAGCTGATGTAAGTCAAATTATAGGAATTTCACAAACATATCAATGCTGAGCCCAGAGACTTTATTACACAATCTAACAGCTACTATGTACATAACATTTTTATACTGAATGGGTAATGGAACAAGTAAAAAAAAAATACAAAAAGGAAAACCAGACAAAAATAAACTGGAAATAAGTCTCGGTACTTGGCTCAGTCCTTCATTCTCTACGGATCACTAAGTACAAATGAGGACTCTCCTTGGCATGACGGAAAGTACTCAGAAGCATGCCTGGAATCCCTGGCACTCAGGTGGAGGCCGCATGATCAGGAGTTCAGACCAGTGACAACACAGTATGTTCAAGGTAGCCTGGGCTATAAAACAGCCTGTCTTTAAAAAATAAAATACAACGTACTTATGTGCTTAAGGACTATGCTCTTTACGGAAAGACTTAACTCCTGTGACTGTGTTTAATAAAGAAAGCTAGGAACCCAAAAAGCTAACACACAACATACCAAAGTATTGGGATAATAAATGTTGGCAGACAACATAAGGATATCCAATTATAAATAATTGCACGGCTTTGTAAACAGTTCTATTCTCTCCTCACCCTGAAGAACATATCAAGTAAAAGACAAAGGAAGTGTAAACAGTTTGCAAAACTTCCTACTCAGTCATAAGCATGGTAATAGCTCTTCTCCTACACATGACAGCTGCAGTCCTCTCTCCCTGTCAGGTCAGGGGAGGTAATGCAGGTAAACACTGAACAATGCAACCACCACCGCCACCACCACAACAACCACAACAACTACAACAACCACAACAATCACCACCACAACAACCACACCAACTACAACAACCACAACAATCACCACCACCACAACGCACTCATGTAGCGGAACGTCTCTTCAGCGAGGACGGGAGAGAGGGTCTCAGATGCATCCTGAGGCTGGTGTGAGGACTGCGCCCAGTCTTGGTTTTCATAGAGAAAGAGAGAGTCGACTCTTAGCTTATACTGTGGCAGCTGTTCCTCCAGCAGGTTCACCAGCTCGACTTCAGGAAGATCCTCATTGGAGCAGACATCTGAGGAGAGAGACCCGGAAGTGAATCTGGTATGCTCCGTTTACCACGCTGCAGTGAAATTGGCTTTTTGAGAGTGGAAAACCAAGGAAATGTTAGACAAGATCATTTCTCCCCTGACTTCTGTGAATGTTTCTAGTGACACTGAGGAGGCCGCTTGAATTCTCGCCTCGTCTCTCTGAGATCTGAGAAGGTGACTGGAGGTTCCTGACCTCCATGGCGGGTGTGTGAACAAAGTGATAAACTGTGAGAATCACTTATATCTTGGTATTGAAGGGTTCAGAAAGATAGGAATAAAAAATTATGAGCTTAAGAGACGGAAACCGACAGTCATCAGCTGTACCAGCAAATAGGATTAACCTTTACCTGGGCCCTGTGTGTTTTACGGTGGGCAGCTCTGTTAGCAACCCAAATGCTAATTTTTTACTGAAGATTGCCCTCTGTAGCCCTGGGGTTAGCTATTTTCGATAACCCCCACCCACTCACCACCAAAACCAAAGTTCACTTTTAATGAGTTCTGGTGACCACCTGCTTTGCATTGTTCCATATCCCCCGCACTCCCAAGTCAGGAGAAGCTGCAGGTTTGGGCAACCATCAATTACCTGAGTCAGGAAGGGCTTTACAAACACCGTTGAGCCGAAACCCTCTAAAACCTTGTTACTGGAAAATTGGAAGACCTAAAAAGCACTTGTCTCTAAAAGCTTAATTTCAGAATTGTGAAAATTCTTTTGTCCATGCCTTATGCTTACTTCTTGCTATAAAAGGGGCCAGAACCCGCCTCCATTGCCACAGCTCAGAACCCCGGACTCTGGCTGTGGTCTCAGCTAGCTCAGAAGCTTCTGTGCCTCGAGGTAATTTTCTTTTCTTTGATTTTTTTCTGGAATAGTTTGCTTCTGGTTTAACAGACTTTGGTGGTCTGTCCCCCATTACTGTTTGACCCTGCGCACAATATGACGCCTGGCTCAGGCCGAGGCGCTGACCAAATGCTAGCTTTCTCCTTAAAAAAGTCTTTGGTTGTGAGCGCGTCACGCTGTGTGCGTGTCATGTTGTGTGTGTGTCACGTGGAGGTCAGACAACAACATGGGGTGTTGGTCCTTAGCTCCCGCCCTGTTTGAGTCATGGTTTGTTTTCTGCCAATGTGCACGTGTGCCGGGCTGGACAGCCCGTAGGCTTCGGGGACTTTCCTGTCTCCACCCCTCACCTCATCTTGAAGCAGTGGTTACTGCACCCAGTCCCCCAGTTTCACATGCACGGGTGTGGGACAAGTGCCACGGCCCCTGCGCCCACGCCCACGGCGCCCTCGCCCACTGTGCCCATGCCCCAGCCTAGTGCTCTTTATTGTTGTTTTACTATGGAGTCTTTAGACCTTTGATGGTCGGGGTTAATTGTCAACTGGGCAGAATCTACAGTCACCTGGGAGACGGACCTCTGGAACGCCTGTGGGGATTATTTTGATGACACGAATTGTGGGAAGACTCACCCAAGTGCTCACACACTGTCTCTGACATACCCTGCATACTTCTGTCCAGGGCCCAAACTCTCCAGCTGCCCACTGTCCTGGTTTTCAGTGTTAAGATTAGACGGCATATGAGCTCCGGCATCAAATCTAATGTCTAATCTGACTCCTCCATACATTCATGATGGAGATCAGACACAAGACTCATCTGAGCCCCATTCCCTACACATCTGCAAAACGAAGAGAATCATTTATTACATCCGGCGACATACTTGCCACACAGTCAGCACCCACTGAATACTGTTGAGGTCACTAGTCTCTCTTCTCACAGGCTGGCTCTGAACATAGTTGGGAATTTCTTATGTGTCTCTTCCTGGCTTCCTGTTTACAATATTACCAGCATTTACACCCCCTCAAATCTAGTGTTTACAAAAAAGTTATCTCTTGTAACACAATTAGAATACTAGGGTTGAAAATAGAGAAAGTTCAGCAGGATGACATAACCGCCCTCTCACTTGTAGGAGGTCTGGTATTTCCTTTGTGGGTAGTATAAAGAAACACGCTCCAACTCTGACAAAAGACGTCAGTTTAAGAAAATAAACTCTGAAAGAGCACATTTCTGTTAGCTGGCCTGAACTTACCAAGGACAGTTTAGTAAGTTCCATGCAGAGGCCGGCACTACCACACATCTCCACTCATCCGGAAGATGAGCAGCAGCTCACCACCACAAGAGGAGATGTGAGTCGTGTACACCTTCCTCATAGTTCCGAAGAACCCTCCAGCCTCAGCAGAGCTACTGAGCTTGGAAAACGTAGCCCCAGTTTCTTCTTATTACAAACTCCAAGTGACTCTGCTCACTTTACTGCATACACATCACAGACTGTCATTCTAACACTTCCGGAAGAGAGCCAACCACAAATAGATGCGGACGAGGTATCCCGGGAAACCAGGGAATGAAGAAGACAGGCATTACCCATCATCATATCCTTCAGCGACTCTTCCACATCCTCACCTCTTTCCAGTCACACGGACTCTACTTAGGTTCAGGGGTTCTTTCTGGTTCTCTTAAATATGACTTTAGAACTGGGCTGCCACAAAGACGCTCAAATCATCCTCCACACTGTCATCACAGGACTCCCCTACTTAAGGGTCAAAGGGGTGTGAATTTCATCTCTCCAGAATAAACACACACACACACACACACACACACACACACACACACACACACACACACAACTCTACCCCACTGAATACCCGAGAAATTAAACTAATTCTAGACTAGAGAATACTGAATAGTGATCCATCTAACAAAGATGAACCAGCCCTAAAATGAAACCCTTATCACCAAATGATTTATCAAAACAAAACTGAACTCTGTAAGGAAAATCACTTGTCAAGAATATATCAGGAACACAAGGTTCAACACCTAAAAATTCAGTCATAAGTGGATGGTGGTGGCACACACCTTTAACCCCAGCACTTGGGAAGCAGAGGCAGACAGATCTCTGTGAGTTTGAGGCCAGCCTGGTCTACAGAGTGAGTTCCAGGACAGCCTGGACTGTTACACAGAGAAGCCCTGTCTCTAAAAATCATCATCCACAACAACAACAACAAAACCCCAAACAAATCTCAAAACGCATCTTGCCACAAAAAGGACAAACTCAATTCATCTGAAATTCTAGCACAAGCAAATTTCATGCAATAGAAGCGCAAAAGGGCTGAGGGCTGCCTGGAGCTGGAGCCAGGGGTGGGGATTTGGATGCAAGAGAACTTGCATGGGATGCTATAAAGTCCTAGACCCTGACTGCACCAGTTACATACTAGTCAAAACTCAAGCAGTATATTAAAATGGGGACAGTTTTCTGTACCTTAGTGAACATCTGATAATAAAGCTCAATAAGGAACCAGCCTTGGATTTATGTGGGTTTCCGAATTCAGAAGGTTTTGGACTGGACTTTTAGAAAAGCAGAACTACGCACTGACTGTTTTATAACATCCCTAACCGGCTCTGTAGAAATACATTCACTGTGTTAACATATCTTTAGCAAATGTAAATCTAACCCAATCAGACAGTCTAGAAAAGGCTGTACAAGTCAGGCTGTGTGAGCCAATGATTCATTATTAATATGACGACGACGACAATGATGTGTGTATGGTGCACGTGTGCATACACATGTGTCACAACAAGCATGCGGAGGTCTGAGGCTGACCTTCAGGAGTTGATTCTTTTTTTTTTTTTTTTTTTGGTTTTTCGAGACAGGGTTTCTCTGTGTAGCTTTGCGCCTTTTCCTGGAACTCAGTTGGTAGCCCAGGCGGGCCTTGAACTCACAGAGATCCGCCTGGCTCTGCCTCCTGAGTGCTGGGATTAAAGGCGTGCGCCACCACCGCCCGGCCCAGGAGTTGATTCTTACCTCCTGTCCTTGCTGAGGCAGGCCTCCCTCACTGCTGCGCAGCACAAGCCAGGCTAGTTGGCCTATGCATCTCCGGGCAACTCTCCTGTGCCTCCCCGTGCCCACAGGAGTGCTGGGATTAGTGTCCAGCTCCTTTTCTGTTCTGTGGGATCTGGAGGTTGAACTTGAGTTGTCCAGTTTAAGTGGCTACTGCATTCCTCACTGAACCACCTCCCTGCTTCCACTTGGTGATTTTTAAAACAAGAACTTTAGGGAAAAAAAACTTCTAAGTTTTTCAAAAGGATTTATTTACGTATCTATTTTTGTCTGTTTGTGTCTATGTTGAGCATATGAACATATGTGTATGTAGATGTGTACATGTGGAGACCAGAAGAAGACACTAGGGTCTCCCCTCTGTCATTCTCCTCCTGTGTCTTTGAGGCGGGGGCTCTTCCTGAATTTGGGGCTGGTGTTCTCTAGCTGAGCTAGAAACTAAGCAATCCTCGGAGGTCCTCTGTCTCGGCTGCTCAGATCTGCTGCTACAGGCATGCACAGGACATCCAGTTTGTTATGTAGGTGCTGGGACCCAAACTCTGGTCCTCATGACCACAGCAAGTGCTCTTAACTAACACAGCACTCTCCAGCCCCTGAGGTTTGATTTTTAAAAATTTATTTATTCTCGTAGATAAAACTTAAGGGCCTACAACTCTGTCTGTATACCCTCCAAGTCCCAAGGGCCTCTGGTCCGATGCTTGTAGGCTCACAAACACAGGTACGCTGCTCTGACACAGTTCCTGCTCACAGGGCCCAGTGGGTATATGAGAGTGCGGCACAGACTAAGAACTGCACAGAAGGCGGAGTCTGGTAATGTCATGGAGACCAAGGGACCGAGTGACGAATTCAGCCTGCCCTGAGGCCACCAGGCTGGAAAGGGAGGCTGGGGTGTCACCATGGCAGGTCACACAGGCCAGACTGAGGAGGTACCAGCACTTTGTCCTGTAGGAAATAACACTTCCACATTATGAAACTGAACTCACCAGTGATGCTCTCCGAGTCTCTGTGATTGCTATTCATGAGGTTTTCTTCACCTGTTGGTGATGTGAAAATGGCATGCTGGGGTTGACTCATGCAGAATCTTTTCTTGCTTTGGTTGAAAGGGGCAGCTTTGGTATGAATCGGAGTAAAGAAAATCCATTAAGCCATTTAGGAAGGAAATGAATGCGATCATATGTATATTTTCTGTAAGACAGATTTTCCGAGATGAGTCATGTGACATCTGCAGCTGTTGAGTGTTCTTGTGATTATCATCCTTGGACAGTCATGGCCTACAACAAAGAGCAGACCAAGTGGTTAGGATCAGCATGCTCTTAATAACAGGACTCTAGCTACCTGCATGCCTTCATTAAGAATGTTTTTCTGTGATATTCATGGCAACATGAGTAAATCTCAATGGAATTAGGCTGGGCAAAACAAATAAATAAATCAGTTCATGATTTCTGATTCCATTTTTATGAGAGTTCTAGAGAAAAAAATCCAACATATCTACGGCACCAAAAAGCAGATCAAGGGCTGGGTTAAATCAGCTCATGATTTCTGATTTGATTTTTATAAGAATTCTAGAAAAAAACCCAACATATCTATGGTACCGAAAAGCAGATCACTGACTGGGTTAGGAAAGGACTTCCTCATGCACAGGAGAATAGTTTGGGGAATGATACATGGAGACACCATGATGGCTTCCGAAGGGCATGGGCATGATGTGAGGTGTAATCCGATTCTACAGCTGAAGTATACAAGTTGGTACATATTACATTTCAACATAGCTGTAGTTTTTAAATAAAATCAACTCTTTACTGTGGTGACCTCTTACAGAGCAGAAGTGAACTGCACTATAGTCACACAAGGCTGGGGCGGGGGAGGGGGAGAGGCATACTCTTGTCGGCTTTTGGACTATACGTAGAATAGCGAAATGGATTATAGTCACACAAGGCCGGGGCGGGGACAGCGGAGGGGAGCATACTCTTGTTGGCTTTTGGACTATACATAGAATAGCGAAATGCTACTGGAAGGAAAGTGCGATGATGGAAAGATGTACCTGACAAACCCAAGAGCAAACGCTGCAATAACTCAGGAATTACAGACAATAAACCAATAAAGGGGCAACACGGAACAGTTTCTTCAATGCTGGCATTACTGGCATTGGGGTCATTTGTGTGGAAAACACTGTATGAACTTTAGCAACACCTGCCCTCCCCTGACTAGGTGACTCCTTTCTAGGCCTTTTCCTAGATCGAACAGGCAAAATGTCTCTAGTCACTGCCAGATGTCCTTGGGGGCAGAAGTGCCCCACCTGAGAGTCACTGATAAAAAAGAACTCAACATTACTCATAAATAGAAGAAGTAAAAATGTAAGTAAACTATCTTCATCTGCTAGACCATCAAATGCTAAACTTTTCTCATTACTGGATAGGGCACTCGAGACCCTTGTAAAGCTCTAGTGATAACTGTAAAATTGCTGTAAGATCTTAGAAAGGGGTTCACAATGTCTACCAAGCTTTTAGATGCACATATACTGCACTCAACAATTCTACCAACAGAATTTATACAATGGAGATATTTACATGGCATGCCAAGACACAGAGACCAGAATACCTACACAGTACTGACTAAAACATGTTTTCAAAAGCACACACATCAAGTGGAATGTCCATGATAAGTCTTAATAATAGCATGAGAGGAATCACAATTCAGGCCAGGTGTCTGTAAGCACAGCACTCAGGAGGCTGAGGCAAAGGATAGCGAGTTTAAGGCCAGCCTGGGCTACACAGAGAGTTTCAGGGGCAGCCTACACAACTTAATGAGACCTGGTTTCAAAATAATCAAAGAACCAGGCCTGGTGGCGCATGCCTTTAATCCCAGCACTTGAAAGGCCAGAACAGGCGATCTCTTGTGAATTTGAGGCCAGCCAGTACTATACAGTGAGACTTTGTCACAAGGAAACAAAAAATCAAACAAAGTAAACGTAGGTTGCAATGCACTAAATACACACACACACACACACACACACACACACACACACACACACACACACACACATGTCTACTTAGAACAACAACTGGGAACTGTTACCAGTCAGAAAACGTGCAGTTCAGCCAGGTGTAGTTGTGCACATCTGCAACCCCAGTACTAACTAGGGAGAGGCAGTGAATCCAAGGGCACAGTGGGGGTACTGCAGAGGAGCCCTGTCAGAGGGGGCAGTGGAAGGAGGGGCTGTTCAACCCTAACTACAAGCTTTGCTTTACAGAGAAAGACGTCTACTGGACAGTCAACCCTAACTACAAGCTTTACAGAGAAAGACGTCTACTGGACAGTCAACCCTAACTACAGGTTTTACAGAGAAAGACGTCTACTGGACAGTCAACCCTAACTACAGGTTTTACAGAGAAAGATGTCTACTGGACAGTCAGAGACTCACACTTGCATCCTCATGACTGCTACTTAGGCACACCAACACTCACTTATGTCTACGACGTGGAGAGCGCAGAAAAGAACAGAGCAAAGGAGCCTGGGAAATGGCCAGTGAGGAAAGACAGAGACGTACTTAAAAACACTAGGGACACAAGTTTCAGAGGCAAAGTGAGCAACAGAATCAGAGAGATCAAAGGAGAAATTTGAGAACCTTAAAAATTAATAGTGACCGTTAGGAAGCCAGTGTAGTTCAACAGTTAGACCCCAACCAGGCTGGTGAACAGATTGCATGGTAAGAAAGGAGTTTAGGGGATACAAACCAGATTTTTCAACACCTACACTTTCAGATTTCCACTTTCAAAAACTTCTGTGGTCACTGGCAGAGGGTTTCCTGACTGTTTCTATTATGCCCTCTTCTTTTGAGATTTTATTTTTATTTTATGTGTGTAAGTGTTTGTTTGAATGTGTTAGTGTACCACATGCACACAGTGCCTGTAGAAATCAGAAGAGGGTTTTAGACCCTCTGGAACTGGATATCGACAGTCGTGAGCCACCATGTAGGTGCTGGGAATTGAACCCGGGTCCTCTAGAAGATCAGTCAGTGCTCTTAACTGCTGAGCCATCTCTTCAGCCCCATTCTATTAGTTCTTAAAATATTTTATAAGGAAAAAATAATAAACAGCAGTCATTGTCCCCCAAGAAGCTTATAATTTCATGTTGACATAACAAAAATTTAATTTTCCTACAACTGAATTCAGATAATAATTTTAATAAATACATAAAGATTCTTTTACATGTGCAGCTATTTTCCTGGAGAAGTTTGCAATACAGTAATGTGGATTAGCCAGTGTGACGCTGAGCAAAGCTCATAGTATTTGTTAGGTATTGTGATGCTCGTCATCACAGGTCATTTTCCAGTTCTAAGGGCGCTCTACTGCATACCCTGGTCTCCCCACAGTATCCTGCTACTCAGAACTGTCATTTCCAAACCAAGCACTACAGAGCAAACAGAAACATATCTGGATGAAACCAATAAAGTTTCGCCTCTGAGCTTGAGAGGAAGAAAGCGACCTTCTCTGAAATACACATCTAGGTACAGAAACAAAAATGTGGACGATGCTCTGCCCACAAAGAGGGTGGGAATAATGATTCTTAGGTGGATAGCCAACTGTCACCTTCATGGTAAGTGTTTATGTCACATACACTTTTTAAACAGTCTTTTTGAGAGTTAAAACCCTCCAAAACCTGGACTTGAAATAGAATGACTATCTGGGGCTAGGGAGGTAACTCAGTCAGGGAAGTGCTTGCCATGTGAGCATGAGGGTGAGTCAACCCCCAGAGCCCATTAGAAAGCCTGGCAGGGTGCTGCATGCTGCCAGTGCTGGGGAGGCAGAGAGAGCTAAACCCCTGGAGTCTGATGATCAGCTAGCCTATGAGTTCTAGGCTAGTGAGAAACTGTCTCAAAAAACAAGGTTCTTGAGGAACAACACTCCAGGCTGACCTATCCCCTGCCCCCATGCCCAGGAACCTGCACACCAGTGAACACGCATACACAAAGAGTCTAGTGATGCATTTTAAAATGTAAATGCTAAAAGTGACCTTGTCACCAGGCAGGTCACCCCGTGCATGGTCGCAAACCACTGCCAACATCCATATCTGACCTGTCACCCATTTTTGCAATGTGTGAGCTAAGAATAGCTTTTACTTTTAAGAAAAAAAATTACACAATGTGAAAATAAGACAGATTTAATTTTCAGTGTATACCATGAAGTTCTGAAACACAGATACATTCCTGCTTAAATACTGTCTATTGATTGCATTCATACTCCATGACAGCTTAGTAGTTGTGGTCATTGTGCCACTGGTTGTATATACATAGTCTGCAAGATATTAGAATATCACACACACACACACACACACACACACACACACAATTTTGATATCTGACAGAAAAAGCTTCCCAACCGTTGATCACTAGTAAAATAATTCAGTCATCAAAATACTATTATGTAAAACTAAGCTTTCCAAGACCACCTCTGACAGCTGGGTTTCCTTCTACGTTTATACACTTGCAATCAGACTACAAGAACAGACTTCTGCTCTCTACACCCCTAAGCATATTTAAGAGTTCCTTTCCCTTTCTACAAAAGCCCTAGAAAAAGCAGTAAGTTACCAAGCTGCCTGTGAAGGAAGGGAAAGAGGAGCCAGTGAAGAGGAAAGGAAGTAAAAATGAGGATTAAAACAAAGTGTCCCTAACTGGGCCAAGTCCATTCTTAAACAGAACTGTGGTTTCTTTGGTTGTTTGTTTGTTTTGTTGTTTAAAATCATGACTTGATAAAAGACCACTGTGAAATACAAGTAACTGTGCCCTGAGACCACCGGCCACTGTCTTTACATGGCCACTGTCTTTACATGGCCGCTGCTTTGTTCTGACATTCCCGCTGTCATGACACCTCCCTCTCCCTCCTTTCCTTTTTGAGGTATCAGTTCATGTACTCCTGGCTTACCATGACACTATGCTGCAGACGAGGATGACCTTGAACTTCTAATCATTCTGCCTCCACGTCCTGGAATTACATGACTGGAATTACAGGTATGAGTCACCAGGCTAGGTTTCTCTGTTTCTTTTTCAAAAAATTTACTGTGTATCAGTGTTTTGCCTGCATTCATGTCTGTGCACTATGTGCATGCCGGTACCTGAGGAGTCCAAAAGAGGGTGTCAGATCCCTTGGAACCGAAGTTACTGACAGCTGTGAGCCACCGTACTGGGGACCGACCCAGGACCTCTGGGAGAGCAGCCACTGCTCTTAACCGCTGAGCCGTCTCTCCAGCCCTCCATTTTTATTTTTTAACTTTG